ATCAGGCAACAACACAAAACAGACAACCCCAAATGGATCTAAAATGCATGTGCATGAGGTCAGTGGAAGGGAGTGCCTTTCCCGCTCAAATGTTTGAAACTCTTAAAAGCAAACAGCATTTTCTTGCTGATATTCAAGACCACTTCAGTACACTAGAATCAATTATGCTGGTACTACATTTAGCATCTATTTTAAAGTTTATTACTTGATTAAAAGCCAATGTTATGGTGAAATGGACTCAATTTTACCCAAATTACTCTATTCTATTAGTCACACATTCTTCATGAGATCATTTAAAACTTCAATGTTAAAGTGCTGCAATTAAAAATAGTCATGATTTCCTCTTTGTAAGTCTTCTTCTGGAACCACTTCTACACACCTTTTTGGACCCCTGTGATCAGGCGCTCCAGCAGCTCCTGTGTGACTCTCCCTGAGGAGATTCCCTAAAAATCAGGCTTCATTCAAACAGGCCAATCTCACACAGCCTGCTCTACCTACACCAGTGAAGCTGAGAGACATGACTCACAGACACCTTTCTGCCATGAGGATAAGCTTTCAGGTTCAAATACATATTATCTACTGAAATGAAATGTATACCGGTAGAAATGAATAGATTCAGGAAAAAATGTTCCCTAAGTACGGGGGGTGATTTTGGTTAACTACATACGTAAAAATTATTTTTTTGGCTGAGCACTCTGGCTCACACCTGTAATTCCAGCACTTTGGGAGGCGGAGGTGGGCGGATGACCTGATGTCAAGAGTTCACGACCAGCCTGGCCAACATGGTGAAAACCCTGTCTCTACTAAAAATACAAAAAAAAATTAGCCAAGCGTGGTGGTGGGCGCCTGTAATTCCCAGCTACTGGAAGGCTGAGGCAGAATGGCGCGAGACCCGGGAGGCAGAGCTTGCAGTGAGCTGAGATCACACCACTGCACTCCAGCCTGGGCGAGACAGCGAGACTTTGTCTCAGGAAAAAAAAATAAAAAAGAAAAGTCTAGAACTTAAGTGATGAATGTCAACAGAGAACAAAACCAAAGCCAAAGTTTTGAAGATAGGAAATAGTGTGATACTATCTTTTGTGGGAAGGAACTATTGGCTTCTCCAAAAATTAGGAGCAGGGGAGAGAGAAACCTCATCTCAGAATCTGTGACTGGGTTGGAACTGGAGGCTGGAAATATGCTCAGGTCAACATTCCTCCCTCCCTTCAAAGGAGACTGGAGTTTGAGTGAGCCCAGCGTGAATATTCACTCCGCCATCCACAGGAAGTCCTTTAAACCAGGAGCACACAGTGAGGATAGAAACATGAACATGCACTAACAAGCCCTGAAAGTTCAGAGGGTGACTCTTGATTTCCCCTTGGCACACAGCAGAAGAACTGTTTCTCTAGGTTCAGGGAAATGCCTGTGAGACAGCTGTGTCCCCCAGAGTCCCTTCATCACAGATGACACCCAGTGCTCAGGCCAACACCCACTTGTGCACAATCCCACAGGAGTGCTGACTAATCCAAACCAAAGGTTCTGATGTTCCACAGGCAGAAAAGGAAACGGAGTGGACTGCAAAGACAATCTCATGAGCGCGGCAACCCCAAAGCCCATGGAGACAGTTCTTACCATGATGCCAAGAAACTCTGGAAACAACAAGCCAGACCTCACACATATTTCCATTTTCTTTCGGATTTCATACCCCCTCCTTCAGCCCCTCCTCACAAGCAGCAAGGATAACCTGGAGGCTCCTGGGAACCTTTTCCCCATTGGGTTTTCCTGGCACGTAGTTCCCTACCTGGATAGGAATCTCCTAAATCCTTATATTCTCCAGCGTCAAGTCTTTAGAAAGAAAAACACCAGGATAAGTCATTAGAGAGAGTGACTCACCGCTCCTCCCTACTTTAGCTGAAACTGAATGATGGGCTTTTCTCCCACCTCACGCTTCTTCATACATGATCCCCCTCATCTTTCTTCTGGGTTGACAAACCTCCCCTACAACCTCGGGGCCAGAGTTCTATACTGGAAAAATCACTTTCAGGAGAACCCCAAGCCTCTTTCCCAGCAGGAACCCAGAATCAGGTTTCCATACACAGCTTCAGCAAGTTTTCCCTCAGGAAGTGAGTTATTTCATGGTACATACCGTTTTCATTCAAAGCTGTTCCCTGCAATTATGAAGAAAACATCGTGAGGAAATCAGATTCTGCTGTGCTTCACACAGATCTCATTATTCTCTGGACAACGATAAAAAACCAGAGGGTGGTACAGTAGTTGAACCATAGAGTCAAAGTCCCCAAAGCTACTTTGGAGAGGATAACTGTAGAAAAATAATACCTTAATTCACAGAATTTACCTTTAATTTTATATTCAAATGCACAATGCTTAATCCAAGGAGGAAAAGTGGTATTGTGGAAAATGCCTCAGCATTCCAGGCATACTGGATGCTGTCATTGAAAAGCACCCTAGCAGACCATGTATCAGTTGGGAAGACACGCCTACTGAATTCCAGCCCCACAAAGAGAATAGTGTACAGTGTACAGAATGTGCATTGCCAGATTTTCATATCAAATTAACTGAAGTCAAGCAATCAGGAAAGCAACATTTGCTGTAAAGACAAAAAAGGGGGAGTCTTACCTGGACATCATTATTATCATTAGCATCTTCTTTCTCTTCTTCTTCATCTTTGCGTTGTGGTGAGCCTCTTAAAAACAGGCCATCCTCAGGACAAACTGGAAGGACACAGAGGAAAGATCAGTGCACTGGTGGTTGGTGACTGAGTCACTCAGGGAGCTTTGCTGGATGTGGTGTATGGAGGTGGTTGACAAGCATGAACTGACTTGATGCTGGGCTATTCCCTGGTGGAGAGGGATGGCAGAGAGGGCAGGAAAGACGAGACATGAGGGCGCGTCGGCCTCGTACTAGAAGCATCAGGCAGCAACACAAAACAGACCAGCCCAAATGGATCTAAAATGCATACTGAGGGTCAGTGGAAGAGTGCCTTTCTCCCGCTCAAATGTTTTGAAACTCTTCAAAACAAACAGCATTTTCTTAACGTATTCAAGACCACTTCAGTACACTAGGATCCAATTATGCTGGTACTACATTTAGCATCTGTTTTAAAGGATTTATTACTTGATTAAAAGCCAATGTTATGGTGAAATGGACTCAATTTTACCCAAATTACTCTATTCTATTAGTCACACATTCTTTTTCATAGAGATCATTTAAAACTTCAATGTTAAAGTGCTGCAATTAAAAATAGTCATGATTTCCTCTTTGTAAGTCTTCTTCTGGAACCACTTCTACACACCCTTTTGGACCCCTGTGATCAAGCGCTCAGCAGCTCCTGTGTGACTCTCCCTGAGGAGATTCCCTAAAAATCAGGCTTCATTCAAACAGGCCAATCTCACACAGCCTGCTCTACCTACACCAGTGAAGCTGAGAGACATGACTCTGAACACTTTCTGCCATGAGGATAAGCTTTCAGGTTCAAATACATATCTACTGAAATGAGAAATGTATACCAGTAAGAAATGAATGATTCAGGAAAAAATGTTCATAGTCTGAGGGTGATTTTGGTTAACTACCTTACGTAAAAATTATTTTTTTGGCTGAGCACTCTGGCTCACACCTGTAATTCCAGCACTTTGGGAGGTGGAGGTGGGTGGATGACCTGATGTCAAGAGTTCACGACCAGCCTGGCCAACATGGTGAAACCCTGTCTCTATCAAAAATACAAAAAAATTAGCCAAGCGTGGTGGTGGGCGCCTGTAGTCCCAGCTACTCGGGAGGCTGAGGCAGAATGGCGCAGACCCGGGAGGCAGAGCTTGCAGTGAGCGAGATCACACCACTGCACTCCAGCCTGATCGAGACAGCGAGACTTTGTCTCAGGAAAAAAATAAAAAAGAAAAAGTCTAGAACTTAAGTGATGAATATCAACTTAGAGAACAAAACCAAAGCCAAAGTTTTGAAGATAGGAAATAGTGTGATACTATCTTTTGTGGGAAGGAACTATTGGCTTCTCCAAAAATTAGAGAACTGGGGAGAGAGAAACCTCATCTCAGAATCTGTGACTGGGTTGGAACTGGAGGCTGGAAATATGCTCAAGGTCAAACATTCCTCCTCCCTTCAAAGGAGACTGGAGTTTTACCAGTGAGCCCAGCGTGAATATTCACTCCGCCATCCACCCCAGGAAGTCCTTTAAACAGGAGCACACAGTGAGGATAGAAACAGAACATGCACTAACAAGCCCTGAAAACTCAGAGGGTGACTCTTGATTTCCCCTTGGCACACAGCAGAAGAACTGTTTCTCTAGGTTCAGGGAAATGTGAGAGAGCTGTATCCCCAAGTCCCTTCATCCACAGATGACACCAGTGCTCAAGACCTTTGCCAATGCACAATCCCTAGGAGTGCTGACTAATCAGAGCAAAGGTTCTGATGTTCCACAGGCAGAAAAGAGCAGGTGGACTGCCAAAAGACAATCTCTCATGTGCTTGGTAACCCCAAAGCCCATGGAAGCAGTTCTTACCATGATGCCAAAGAAACTCTGGAAACAACAAGCCAGACCTCACATATTTCCATTTTCTTTCGGATTTCACACACCCCTCCTTCAGCCCCTCCTCACAAGCAGCAAGGATAACCTGGAGGCTCCTGGGAACCTTTTCCCATTGGGTTTTCCTGGCACGTAGTTCCCTACCTGGATGAGTCTCGCCGTCACTTATATTCTCCAGCGTCAAGTCTTTAGAAAGAAAAACACCAGGATAAGTCATTAGAAAGTGACTCGCCCGCTCCTCCTACTTTAGCTGAAACTGAATGATGGGCTTTTCTCCCACCCACGCTGCTTCTACATGATCCCTCATCTTTCTTCTGGGTTGACAAACCTCCCTACAACCTATAGGGCCAGAGTTCTATACTGGAAAAATCACTTTCAGGAGAACCCCAAGCCTCTTTCCCAGCAGGAACCCAGAATCAGGTTTCTATACACCGAAGCTAGCAAGTTTTTCCCTCAGGAAGTGAGTTATTTCATGGTACATACCGTTTTCATTCAAAGCTGTTCCCTGCAATTATATGAAAGAAAACATCGTGAGAATCAGATTCTGCTGTGCGCTTCACACAGATCTGTTATTCTCTGGACAACGATAAAAAACCAGAAGGTGGTACAGTGATTGAACCATAGGTCAAAGTCCCCAAAGCCTAGCACAGAGGATACTTATAGAAAAACAATACCTTAATTCACAGAATTTACCTTTAATTTTATATTCAAATGCACAATGCTTAATCCAAGGAGGAAAAGTGGTATTGTGGAAAATGCCTCAGCATTCCAGGCATACTGGATGCTGTCATTGAAAAAGCACCTAGCAGACCATGTATCCAGTTGGGAAGACAACTGCTGAATTCCAGCCCCACAAAGAGAATGGTGTACAGTGTACAGAATGTACATTGCCAGATTTTCATATCAAAATTAACTGAGAAGTCAAGCAATCAGGAAAGCAACATTGCTGTAAAAGACAAAAAAGGGGAGTCTTACCTGGACATCATTATTATCATTAGCATCTTCTTTCTCTTCTTCTTCATCTTTGCGTTGTGGTGAGCCTCTTAAGCAGGCCATCCTCAGGACAAACTGGAAGGACACAGAGAGGAAAGATCAGTGCACTGGTGGTTGGTGACTGATCACTCAGGAGCTTTGCTGAGATCAGGTGTATGGGGTGGTTGACAACCTTGAACTGACTTGATGCTGGGCTATTCCCTGAGTGGGAGAGGGATGGCAGAGGGGAGCAGGAAGGAGCCACGAGACATGAGGCGTCGGCCACCGTGCCACTGAGGCATCAGGCAGCAACACAAAACAGACAACCCCAAATGGATCTAAAAATGCATACTGAGGTCAGTGGAAGGTACCTTTCTCCGCTCAAATGTTTTGAAACTCTTCAAAACAAACAGCATTTTCTTAAGTATTCAAGACCACTTCAGTACACTGAGATCAATTATGCTGTTTTTGTTTAGCATCTGTTTTAAAGGATTTATTACTTGATTAAAAGCCAATGTTATGGTGAAATGGACTCAATTTTACCCAAATTACTCTATTCTATTAGTCACACATTCTTTTTCATAGAGATCATTTAAAACTTCAATGTTAAAGTGCTGCAATTAAAAATAGTCATGATTTCCTCTTTATGCAGTCTTCTTCTGGAATACTTCTACACCCTTTTGGACCCCTGTGATCAGGCGCTCCAGCAGCTCCTGTGACTCTCCTGAGAGATTCCTAAAATCGAGGCTTCATTCAAACAGGCCAATCTCACACAGCCTGCTCTACCTACACCAATTGAAGCTGAGAGACATGACTCTGAACACTTTTTCTGCCATGGATAAGCTTTCCAGGTTCAAATACATATTATCTACTGAGGGAAATGAAATGTATACCAGTAGAAATAGACCAGATTCAGGAAAAAATGTTCATGAGTACGGGGTGATTTTTTTGGTTAACTACCTTGCAGTAAAAATTATTTTTGGCTGAGCACTCTGGCTCACACCTGTAATTCCAGCACTTTGGGAGGCGGAGGTGGGGCGGATGACCTGATGTCAAGAGTTCGACCAACTAGCCAACATGGTGAAACCCTGTCTCTATCAAAAAATACAAAAAAGGTAGCCAAGCGTGGTGGTGGGCGCCTGTAGTCCCAGCTACTCGGGGCTGAGGCAGAAATGGCGAGACCCGGGAGGCAGAGCTTGCAGTGAGCTGAGATCACACCACTGCACTCCAGCCTGGGCGAGACAGCGAGACTTTGTCTCAGGAAAAAAAAATAAAAAAGAAAAGTCTAGAACTTAAGTGATGAATATCAACTTAGAGAACAAAACCAAAGCCAAAGTTTTGAAGATAGGAAATAGTGTGATACTATCTTTTGTGGGAAGGAACTATTGGCTTCTCCCAAAAATTTAGAGAACTGGGGAGAGAGAAACCTCATCTCAGAATCTGTGACTGGGTTGGAACTGGAGGCTGGAAATATGCTCAAGGTCAAACATTCCTCCTCCCTTCAAAAGGAGACTGGAGTTTTACCAGTAGGCAAGCGTGAATATTCCTCCGCCATCACCCCCAGGAGTCCCTTTAAACAGGAGCACACAGTGAGGACCATTATGAACATGCACTAACAAGCCCTGAAAGTTCAGAGGGTGACTCTTGATTTCCCCTTGGCACACAGCAGAAGAACTGTTTCTCTAGGTTCCAGGAAATGCCTGTGAGACAGCTGTGTCCCCCAGAGTCCCTTCATCACAGATGACACCCAGTGCTCAGGCCAACACCCCTTGTGCACAATCCCTAGGAGTGCTGACTAATCCAAACCAAAGGTTCTGATGTTCCACAGGCAGAAAAGAGCAGGTGGTGTCTCTCATGAAGACGCGGCAACCCCAAAGCCCCATGGGGGCAGGATTCTTACCATGATGCCAAGAAACTCTGGAAACAACAAAGCCAGACCTCACACACATATTTCCATTTTCTTTCGGATTTCACTTGCCCCCTCCTTCAGCCCCCTCCCCTCACAAGCAGCAAGGATAACCTGGAGGCTCCACAGGGAACCTTTTCCCATTGGGTTTTCCTGGCACGTAGTTCCCCTACCTGGATGAGTCTCCTGGAAGTCACTTATATTCTCCAGCGTCAAGTCTTTAGAAAGAAAAACACCAGGATAAGTCATTAGAGAGAGTGACTCACCCGCTCCTCCTACTTTAGCTGAAACTGAATGATGGGCTTTTCTCCCACCCCACGCTGCTTCATACAGGATCCCCTCATCTTTCTTCTGGGTTGACAAACCTCCCTACAGCTTCTCGGGCCAGAGTTCTATACTGGAAAAATCACTTTCCAGGAGAACCCCAAGCCTCTTTCAGCAGGGTGGGAATCAAGGTTTCTATACACCGAAGCTAACAAGAGTTTTCCCTCAGGAAGTGAGTTATTTCATGGTACATACCGTTTTCATTCAAAGCTGTTCCTACAATTATGAAGAAAACATCGTGAGAATCAGATTCTGTAATGCGCTTCACACAGATCTGTTATTCTCTGGACAACGATAAAAAACCAGAAGGTGGTACAGTGATTGAACCATAGGTCAAAGTCCCCCAAAAAGCCTAGCACAGAGAGGATACTTATAGAAAAACAATACCTTAATTCACAGAATTTACCTTTAATTTTATATTCAAAATGCACAATGCTTATCCAAGGAGGAAAAAGTGGTATTGTGGAAAATGCCTCAACATTCAGGCATACTGGATGCTGTCAGTAACACCCTAGCAGACCATGTATCAGTTGGAAGACACGCCACCTGCCACAATTCCAGCCCCACAAAGAGAATAGTGTACAGTGTACAGAATGTGCATTGCAGATTTTCATATCCAAAATTAACTGAGAAGTCAAGCAATCAGGGAAATCAACATTGCTGTAAAAGACTAAAGGGAGTCTTACCTGGACATCATTATTATCATTAGCATCTTCTTTCTCTTCTTCTTCATCCTTTCGTTGTGGTGAGCCTCTTAAAAACAGGCCATCCTCAGGACAAACTGGAAGGACACAGAGGAAAGATCAGTGCACTGGTGGTTGGTGACTGAGTCACTCAGGGAGCTTTGCTGGATGTGGTGTATGGAGGTGGTTGACAAGCATGAACTGACCGTGCTGGGCTATTCCCTGAGTGGGGAGAGGGATGGCAGAGAGGAGCAGGAGGAAAGACCACCGCGAGAGACATGAGGGCGTCGGCCTCGTACTAGAGGCATCAGGCAGCAACTGAAACAGACAACCCCAAATGGATCTAAAATGCATACTGAGGGTCAGTGGAAGAGTGCCTTTCTCCCGCTCAAATGTTTGAAACTCTTCCAAAACAAGCAGCATTTTTCTTAAATGTTCAAGACCACTTCCAGTACACTAGGATCCAGTATGCTGGTACTACATTTAGCATCTGTTTTAAAGGATTTATTACTTGATTAAAAGCCAATGTTATGGTGAAATGGACTCAATTTTACCCAAATTACTCCTATTCTAGTAATCACATTCTTTTCATAGAGATCATTTAAAACTTCAATGTTAAAGTGCTGCAATTAAAAATAGTCATGATTTCCTCTTTGTAAGTCTTCTTCTGGAACCGCTTCTACACACACCCTTTTGGACCCCTGTGATCAGGCGCTCCAGCAGCTCCTGTGTGACTCTCTGAGGAGATTCCTAAAAATCAGGCTTCATTCAAACAGGCCAATCTCACACAGCCTGCTCTGCCTACACCAGTGAAGCTGAGGGCCGCTGACTCTGAACACTTTCTCTGCACCATGAGATATAAGCTTTCAGGTTCAAATACATATTATCTACTGAAATGAGGAAATGTATACCAGTAGAAATGAATGAATTCAGGAAAAAAATGTTCATGAGAATGCAGAGGTGATTTTTGGTTAACTACCTTGCATTAAAAATTATTTTTGGCTGAGCACTCTGGCTCACACCTGTAATTCCAGCACTTTGGGAGGCGGAGGTGGGCGGATGACCTGATGTCAAGAGTTCACGACCAGCCTGGCCAACATGGTGAAACCTGTCTCTATCAAAAATACAAAAAAAAAAATTAGCCAAAGCGTGGTGGTGGGCGCCTGTAGTCCCAGCTGGAGGCTGAGGCAGAATGGCGCGAACCCGGGAGGCAGAGCTTGCAGTGGCTGAGATCACACCACTGCACTCCAGCCTCGGCGAGATGGCGAGACTTTGTCTCAGGAAAAAAATAAAAAAAAGAAAAAGTCTAGAACTTAAGTGATGAATATCAACTTAGAGAACAAAACCAAAGCCAAAGTTTTGAAGATAGGAAATAGTGTGATACTATCTTTTGTAGGAAAGGAACTATTGCTTCTCCAAAATTAGAGAACTGGGGAGAGAGAAACCTCATCTCCAGAATCTGAAGCTGGGTTGGAACTGGAGGCTGGAAATATGCTCAAGGTCAAACATTCCTCCTCCCTTCAAAGGAGACTGGAGTTTTACCAGTGAGCCCAGCGTGAATATTCACTCCGCCATCCACCCCAGGAGATCCCTTTAAACCAGGAGCACACAGTGAGGATAGAAACATAGACATGCACTAACAAGCCCTGAAAGTTCAGAGGTGACTCTTGATTTCCCCTTGGCTTTAGCAGAAGAACTGTTTCTCTAGGTTCCAGGAAATGCCTGTGAGACAGCTGTGTCCCCAGAGTCCTTCATCACAGATGACACCCAGTGCTCAGGCCAACTTTACCCACTTGTGCACAATCCTAGGAGTGCTGACTAATCCAAACCAAAGGTTCTGATGTTCCACAGGCAGAAAAGAGCAGGTGGACTGCAAAGACAATCTCTCTCATGAGCAGCAACCCCAAAGCCCATGGAGACAGTTCTTACCATGATGCCAAGAAACTCTGGAAACAACAAGCCAGACCTCACACATATTTCCATTTTCTTTCGGATTTCATACCCCTCCTTCCAGCCCCCTCCTCACAAGCAGCAAGGATAACCTGGAAGCTCCTGGAACCTTTTCCCATTGGGTTTTCCTGTGCGCGTGGTTCCTACCTGGATGAGTCTCCTCGTCATATATTCTCAGTAATCAGAGTCTTTAGAAAAGAAAAAACACCAGGATAAGTCATTAGAGAGAGTGACTCACCCGCTCCTCCTACTTTAGCTGAAACTGAATGATGGGCTTTTCTCCCACCCCACGCTGCTTCATACATGATCCCCTCATCTTTCTTCTGGGTTGACAAACCTCCCTACAGCTTCTCGGGCCAGAGTTCTATACTGGAAAAATCACTTTCAGGAGAACCCCAAGCCTCTTTCCCAGCAGGAGCCCAGAATCAAGGTTTCTATACACCGAAGCTAGCAAGTTTACCCTCAGGAAGTGAGTTATTTCATGGTACATACCGTTTTTTCATTAGCTGTTGTTCCTGCAATTGCTATAAAAGAAAACATCGTGAGAATCAGATTCTGCTGTGCGCTTCACACAGATCTGTTATTCTCTGGACAACGATAAAAAACCAGAAGGTGGTACAGTGATTGAACCATAGGTCAAAGTCCCCAAAGCCTAGCACAGAGGATACTTATAGAAAAACAATACCTTAATTCACAGAATTTACCTTTAATTTTATATTCAAATGCACAGTACGCCCAATCCAAGGAGAAAAGTGGTATTGTGGAAACCCTCAACATTCCAGGCATACTGGATGCTGTCATTGGCACCTAGCAGACCATGTATCAGTTGGGAAGACCGCCTACTGAATTCCAGCCCCTACAAAGAGATAGTGTACAGTGTACAGAATGTGCGTGCCAGATTTTCATATCAAAATTAACTGAGAAGTCAAGCAATCAGGAAAGCAACATTGCTGTAAAAGACAAAAAAGGGGAGTCTTACCTGGACATCATTATTATCATTAGCATCTTCTTTCTCTTCTTCTTCATCTTTGCGTTGTGGTGAGCCTCAAAAACAGGCCATCCTCAGGACAGCTGAGAGGACATTACAGAGAAAGATCAGTGCACTGGTGGTTGGTGACTGAGTCACTCAGGGAGCTTTGCTGGATGTGGTGTATGGAGGTGGTTGACAAGCATAGACTGACTTGATGCTGAGCTATTCCCTGAGTGGGAGAGGATGGCAGAAGGGCAGGAGAAGAACCACCGAGACATGAGGCGTCGGCCTCGTACTGAGAGCATCAGGCAACAACACAAAACAGACAACCCCAAATGGATCTAAGAAATGCATACTGAGGTCAGTGGAAAGTGCCTTTCTCCCGCTCAAATGTTTTCAAACTCTTCAAAACAAACAGCATTTTCTTAACGTATTCAAGACCACTTCAGTACACTGAGATCCAATTATGCTGGTACTACATTTAGCATCTGTTTTAAAGGATTTATTACTTGATTAAAAGCCAATGTTATGGTGAAATGGACTCAATTTTACCCAAATTACTCTATTCTATTAATCGCATTCTTTTTCATAGAGATCATTTAAAACTTCAATGTTAAAGTGCTGCAATTAAAAATAGTCATGATTCCTCTTTGTAAGTCTTCTTCTGGAACCTTCTACACACCTTTTGGACCCTGTGATCAGGCGCTCCAGCAGCTCCTGTGTGACTCTCCCTGAGGAGATTCCCTAAAAATCAGGCTTCATTCAAACAGGCCAATCTCACACACAGCCTGCTCTACACCTACCAGTGAAGCTGAGAGACATGACTCTGAACACTTTGCCATGAGGATAAGCACCAGGTTCAAATACATATTATCTACTGAAGTGAGGAAATGTATACCAGTAGAAATGAATGAATTCCGGAAAAAATGTTCATGAAGTCTGGGGTGATTTTTGGTTAACTACCTTACGTAAAAATTATTTTTTTGGCTGAGCACTCTGGCTCACACCTGTAATTCCAGCACTTTGGGAGGCGGAGGTGGGCGGATGACCTGATGTCAAGAGTTCACGACCAGCCTGGCCAACATGGTGAAACCCTGTCTCTATCAAAAATACAAAAAAAAATTAGCCAAGCGTGGTGGTGGGCGCCTGTAGTCCCAGCTACTCGGGAGGCTGAGGCAGAAGAATGGCGCGAACCCGGGAGGCAGAGCTTGCAGTGAGCTGAGATCACCACTGCACTCCAGCCTGGGGCGGGACAGCCCAGAGACTTCCTGTCTCAGGAAAAAAAAAAAAATAAAAAAAAGAAAAAAGTCTAGAACTTAAGTGATGAATATCAACAGGAACAAAACCAAAGCCAAAGTTTGAAGATAGGAAATAGTGTGATACTATCTTTTTGTGGGAAGGAACTAATGGCTTCTCCAAAGAATGTAGAGAACTGGGGAGAGAGAAAACCTCATCTCCAGAATCTGCATTGGGTTGGAACTGGAGCTGAAATATGTCTCAAGGTCAAACATTCCTCCTCCTTCAAAGGGAGACTGGAGTTTTACCAGTGAGCCCAGCGTGAATATTCACTCCGCCATCCACCCCAGGAGATCCCTTTAAACCAGGAGCACACAGTGAGGATAGAAACATGAACATGCACTAACAAGCCCTGAAAGTTCAGAGGGTGACTCTTGATTTCCCCTTGGCACACAGCAGAAGAACTGTTTCTCTAGGTTCCAGGAAATGCCTGTGAGAGAGCTGTGTCCCCCAGAGTCCCTTCATCACAGATGACACCCAGTGCTCAGGCCAACACCCCTTGTGCACAATCCCTAGGAGTGCTGACTAATCCAAACCAAGGAGTTCTGATGTTCCACAGGCAGAAAAGAGCAGGTGGACTGCAAAGACAATCTCTCATGAGCAGAAACCAACCCCAAGCCCATGGAGACAGTTCTTTCATGATGCCAAAAACTCTACCAAACAACAAGCCAGACCTCACACATATTTCCATTTTCTTTCGGATTTCATACCCCCTCCTTCAGCCCCTCCTCACAAGCAGCAAAGGATAACTTGGAGGCTCTGGGAACCTTTCCCATTGGGTTTTCCTGTACGTAGTTCCCCTACCTGGATGAGTCTCCTCATCTTATATTCTCCAGCGTCAAGTCTTTAGAAAAGAAAAACACCCAGGATAAGTCATTAGAAGTGACTCACCACGCTCCTCCTACTTTAGCCTGGCTTGAATGATGGGCTTTTCTCCCACCCCACGCTGCTTCATACATGATCCCTCATCTTTCTTCTGGGTTGACAAACCTCCCTACAACTTCTCGGGCCAGAGTTCTCATACTGGAAAAATCACTTTCAGGAGGCACAAATATCTTTCTCCCAGCAGGAACCCAGAATCAGGTTTCCATACACCGAAGCTAGCAAGTTTTTCCCTCAGGAAGTGAGTTATTTCATGGTACATACGTTTTCATTCAAAGCTGTTCCTGCAATTATATAAAAGAAAACATACGTGAGAATCAGATTCTGCTGTGTGTACAGATCTCTGTTATTCTCCTGGACAACGATAAAAAACCAGAAGGTGGTACAGTGATTGAACCATAGGTCAAAGTCCCCAAAGCCTAGCACAGAGATACTTATAGAGAAAAACAATGCCTTAATTCACAGAATTTACCTTTAATTTTATATTCAAATACACAGAATGCACTTAAATCCAAAAGGAAAAGTGGTGTTATTGAAAATGCCTCAGCATTCCCGGGCATACTGGATGCTGTCAGGTAAAAACACCCTAGCAGACCATGTATCAGTTGGGAAGACACGCCTCTGAATTCCAGCCCCACAAAGAGAATGAACACAGTGTACAGAATGTGCATTGCCAGATTTTCATATCAAAATTAACTGAGAAGTCAAGCAATCAGAAACGACATTGCTGTAAAAAAGACAAAAAAGGGGAGTCTTACCTGGACATCATTATTATCATTAGCATCTTCTTTCTCTTCTTCTTCATCTTTGCGTTGTGGTGACCTCTTTAAAACAGGCCATCCTCAGGACAAACTGGAAGGACACAGAGGAAAGATCAGTGCACTGGTGGTTGGTGACTGAGTCACTCAGGGAGCTTTGCTGGATGTGGTGTATGGAGGTGGTTGACAAGCATGAACTGACTTGATGCTGGGCTATTCCTAATTAAGGAGAGGGATGGCAGAGAGGAGCAGGAAAGACCACGAGACATGAGGGCGTCGGCCCCTCAAGCTAGAGGCATCAGGCAGCAACACAAAACAGACAACCCCAAATGGATCTAAAATGCATACTGAGGGTCAGTGGAAGAGTGCCTTTCTCCCGCTCAAATGTTTTGAAACTCTTCAAAACAAACAGCATTTTCTTAACGTATTCAAGACCACTTCAGTACACTAGGATCCAATTATGCTGAGTACCACATTTAGCATCTGTTTTAAAGGATTTATTACTTGATTAAAAGCCAATGTTATGGTGAAATGGACTCAATTTTACCCAAATTACTCTATTCTATTAATCACACACTCTTTCCATAAAGATCATTTAAAACTTCAATGTTAAAATATTTTTAATTAAAATAGTCATGATTTCCATCTTTGTAAGTCTTCTTCTGGAACCACTACCACACACCGTTTGGACCCCTGTGATCAGGCGCTCCAGCAGCTCCTGTGTGGCTCTCCCTGAGAGATTCCTAAAAATCAGGCTTCATTCAAACAGGCCAATCTCACACAGCCTGCTCTACCTACACCAGTGAAGCTGAGAGACATGACTCTGAACACTTTCTGCCATGAGGATCGCTTTGGGTTCAAATACATATTATCTACTGAAGTGAGGGTATATACCAGTGAAATGGATGAATTCAGGAAAAAATGTTCATGAGTACGGGGGTGATTTTTGGTTAACTAGCTTACGTAAAAATTATTTTTTTGGCTGAGCACTCTGGCTCACACCTGTAATTCCAGCACTTTGGGAGGCTGAGGTGGGCGGATGACCTGATGTCAGAGTTCACGACCAGCCTGGCCAACATGGTGAAACTTTATCTCTACTAAAAATACAAAAATTGGCCAGGCATGCTGGTGAGCTGCATAATCCCAGCTACTCAGGAGGTTGAGGCAGGAGAATACCTTGAATCTGGGAGGCAGAGGTTGCAGTAGACAAGATCTTGCCATTGCACTCCAGCCTCGGCAAGCAGAGAGCGAAACTCCATCTATATCTCTCTATCTATATATATATATATATATATATAAGAGAGAGAGAGAGAGAGAGAGAGAGAGAGGAAACCTTGTAGCGTATTCGGAATGAATAGGCATCTATATATAGAGTATGTCTGAATGAACAGGCATCATATATATGATGCCTGTTCATTCAGACATACTCAATATTGGTATAAGAAATCAAAAAATTTTACATCAGTCATGTTAAATCTAACTTATCAGCTGTCAACATGAAGATCTAGGAAGTAAAGAAGGTACAAATAAATTGAAGAGAGCATCCTGTATTCATGGATAGGAAGACCAAAGCCTGACTGACCTGCAATACTACACACATGATCTACAGACTCACAACAATTACTATCAAACTGGTAACAGCCATCTGTGCAGAAATGGAAAGATAATCCTACTATTTTTAATGAATTTTATGTGCCTCAGTAACCATGATGATGTTTAAAAGAAATAGTGTTAGAGAATATACACATTCAGAGATTGAAATCACACATACAAAAAATGCAGAAATTCAGACAGCATGGTTCTAGCGAGGGAGCACCCATAAGTTAGTTTCCACAGATATAGAGGGCCCAGAATTGAATGCACACATATACAGTAAACTGATCTTCAACAAAGGTGTCAAAAATACACAATGGGGAAAGGACAGCCTCTTCCACAAATGATGGTAAAACTGCATATTCTCATTCAAATAAAGACATAGAATGCTGACAATTGTGCTCAAGGTTATGCTTCTCTCTCCATTTCCAAGACACTGAAACTTTTGCAGAGTGAGCCCAGAGTCATTTTCATTCTATCCTTCATGCCCAGAAAATCTTGATACCAGAGGTAAGCAGGAAAAACAGACGCATGAGTGTGCTGCCCAGGGAAACCTAACAGTTCATGAGTGAGGATTAATCTCTCCTATGCAGCCTACGGGCACACCACAAAAACTTTTGTCCACCAGCATGAAGTAACTGCCTGTGACAGAACTCTGTCCTAAACCAAAAGTTTTGAGATTTTGCAGTGGCAGAGGCAGAAAAGAGCAGGTGTTTTAGAAAGATCATCTTTAAACGATAAAGTAAGAAGAGGTGATTGAAAACACAGGATACTCAAAAGCTCATAAACATGACACTTCTCACCATGATGACATTAAACTCTAGAAAATAACAAAGTTCACTTATATTTACCTTTTCTTTTCTCTTTTTCTACACCCTCCCTAACCTGCCAGTAGCAGGTATAACATGAAGGTTCCTGGAAATGCTGTTTTATTAGATCCCACCTGAAATCTTCATACCTACCTGGAAGAGGCATCCTCTTCCTACTGAGATTCTCCAGAATCCACTCTTTAGAACCACCAACATCAGGAAAAGTCAGTGAGAGCTGCACTCACTTCTCCTACTCCAGGTGAAGACACACTGGCTCACACAAAATCTCCTGGTTGGTCCTCTGGGTTCACACATTTCTACAGCCCCTCTGCTCATAGCTATCACGCTTTTAAAATCATTTGCTCTTGCCGCACCCCAATATTTTAACGGGAACCAGATTAAGGTTTCTATATGTTAAAGCCAACAAGTTTGTTTCTCAGAAAGTGAGTTAGTTCAAGGTGCGTGCACGGTCAGACAATGGTAAAATCTGCAATGACACAAAAAGAAGATGCCATGAGGATTAGATCAATTCTGCTGCACCCTTACACCAGATCTGTTAGTCTCTGATGACTTCACAAAACTAAACAGTGGTGAGTCAAGGTCAAAACAAACATTCTAGCATAGAGGACACGTGTGGAAAGACTTAAGAGCTTTTCCCTGGGAATTTCTCCTGAAGGTGATTTAAGTTGGTAAATGTACACAGCCTAATCAAGGAGAAAAACTGAGTGTGGAGGAAAATTCTTCTGCATTACAGTTGATGTGGTTCTGTCCTTCAAAAACATCCTAGTGTGTCATGTATTAGATGAAAAGAAACTCAGACTGAACTCCATTCTCACAAAGAGAATTATGTATGTTGTACCTAATGTGCCTTGTCATATTTTTATATCAAAATTAATTGAGAAAAAGAGAAAAGAAATCAGGTGAAGGAAATAAGAAATGTATACGGTGGTCCATTTCTAACATAAAGTGTCTTGTGCAGTTTAGGTCAGCAAAGGACAGAAGAAATAGGATATGCCAGGCTCCTGCTTGGATGGGCAATGCCTGCTTGTTGGCCCCACCTCCTCCCACTTAGTTACTTTCACTTCAGCAAAGAAGATTAAGATAAAGTTTACTAGACTGCAAAATAGCTCGCTGTGTATTCTTATCCAGCCTGCCCAGCTATAGCTGACTAGAGCAATGCATTGGCGAGCTGCAACACAATGCAGTAAGACAACCCTAGAAAAATACCTAAACCCCCTCCCCAAAAGTCAATAGGCAACACCTGGGAAGATTGTGACCCCATAGTACTCAGCCTATGAGGAACCAGGAGAGGACACACACTAGGGGATAAATTGCTTGTGGAAACTGTGCTGGGTGTGTCTGCCCATAAGATACCGGATCTTGAAACACTGTCATGAAAAGTTTCACTTTCGGCCAGGCAGGGTGGCTCACGCCTGTAATCCCAGCACTTTGGGAAGCTGAGGTGGGCAGATTACTGAGGTCAGGAGTTCGAGACCAGCCTGGCCAACATGCTGAAACACCATCTCTACTGAGAATACAAAAATTAGCTAGGCATGGGGACACATGCCTGTAATCCCAGCTACTCAGGAGGCTGAGGCAGGAGAATTCATTGAGCCCAGGAGATGGAGCCGAGATTGCACCACTGCACTGCAGCCTGGCCAACTGAACTAGACTCTTTCTTAAAAAAAAAAAAAAAAGAAAAGAAAAAAGAAAAAAAAAAAAGGAAAGAAAATCTCACTTTTTCTATTTTTCAGCTCCCTGAGTCCATTCTTTGGGTTTGGACTAGTGAGTTTGTTTCTCACGTCAGAAAATCAACATTTCCTTAGAAGACAAAGAAAAAGTGGTCTTACCTCAATGAAATAAAATCATCCTCATCATCGACACCATCAAATCATCATCCCAATCATCAGCCTCACTTGGTGGTGGGCATACTAGAAATTCAGGTTTCCTCAGAAGAACCTGGAAGGACACAGAGGAAAGATCAGTGCACTGGTGGTTGGTGACTGTGAGTCACTCAGGGAGCTTGGTGACTGTGAGTCACTCAGGGAGCTTTGCTGGATGTGGTATATGGAGGTGGTTGATTAACAAATATGGACTGCGTTGATGCTGGGCTATTCCCCTGAGTGGAAGAGGGATGGCAGAGAAGGGGAGCAGGAAAGACATGAGACATGGAGGCCTTGGCCTTGTACTAGAGGCGTCATGCAGCAACACAAAACAGTCAATCCCAAATGGAACTAAAGCACACACGAAGGGTCAATGGAAGAATGCCTTCCTCCCTCTCAAATGTTTTGAAACTCTTCTAAACAAACACCTTTTTTTTTTTTTTTTTTTTTTTTTTTTTTTTTTTTTTTTTTTTTTTTGAGACGGAGTCTCACTCTGTCGCCCAGGCTGGAGTGCAGTCGTGCGATCTCCACTCACTGCAAGCTCTGCCTCCTGGGTTCACGCCATTCTCCTGCCTCAGCCTCCCGAGTAGCTAGGACTACAGGCGTCCGCCACCATGCCTGGCTAATTTTTTGTATTTTTAGTAGAGACAGGGTTTCACCATGTTAGCCAGGATGGTCTGGATCTCCTGACCTCGTGATTCACCCACCTTGGCCTCCGAAAGTGCTGGGATTATAGGCGTGAGCCAATAGAGATCATTTGAAAAATATATTAAAATGTTACAATTTAAAATAGTCATGATTTCCTCCTTGTAAGTCTTCTTCTGGAACCATGGTGTGTGCACAAAACCTATTGGGCCCCTGTGATCAGGGGCTTCAGCAACTCTGTGTCATTCTCCCTCAGGAGATTCCCTGAAGATCAGGCTTCATTCAAACAGGCCAAGCTTACCGAGCCCGTGCAACCTACACCAGTGAAGCTGAGAGACGTGACTCTGAACACTTTCTGCCATGAGAATAAGTTTCCAGGTTCAAATATACATGATCTACTGAAATAAGGAAATGTATACTAATGAACAAATTCATGAAAAAATGTCCATGAGTACGGGGGTGATTTTTGGTTAACTAGTTTACATAAATTTTTTTATTTGATGCCTATTCATTCAGACATACAAAATATTGGTATAACAAATCACAAATTTGGTCGGGAGGGGTGACTCATGCCTGTAATCCCAGCATGTTGGGAGGCTGAGGTAGGCGGATCACAAGGTCAAGAGATTGAGACCATCCTGGCCAACATGGTAAAACCACGCCTCTACTAGAAATGCAAAAATTAGCTGGGTGTGGTGGCATGCACTTGTAGTCTCAGCTACTCCGGATGATAAGGCAGGAGAATCACTTGAACCCTGGAGATGGAGGTGGCAGTGAGTGGAGATCACATCACTGCACCCCAGTATAGTGACAGAGTGAGACTCCGTCTCAAAAAAAGAAAAAAGAAAAAAGAAAAAAGAAAGAACTCACAAATTTATATCGATCATGTTAAATCTAACTAATCAGCTGTCAACATAAAGATTCTAGAAAGTAAAGAACACACAAATAAGTTGAAAGGCTTCCCATATTCATGGATCGGAAGAGTTAACACATAATACACACATGATCTACAGACTCACAACCACTGCTACCAAACTGACAACAGCCATCTGTGCAGAAATGGAAAAATTAATCCTAAGACTTTAATGGATTTTTATGTGCATCAAATAACCATGGTAACGTTGAAAAAGAATTGTGTTGGAGGAAGCACATTCATGAGACTGAAATCTACAAAAAAACAGAGAAATTCAGACAGCATGCTTCTAGCGTGGGGGCACCCATAAGTATCACAGATATAGAATCGAAAGCCCAGAATTAAATGCACACACAGAGTCAGCTGATCTTCAACAAAGATGCCAAGAATACACAATGGGGAAAGGAAAGCCTCTTCCACAAATGATGGTAAAACTCCATATTCTCATTCAAATGAAGAAATGGAATGCTGACAGTGTGCTCAAGGTTCTGCTTCTTCATGCATTTCCAACACACTGGAGCTTTTGCAGTGAGCCCAGAGTGAATTTTCATTCTGTCCTCCATGCCCAGGGAGATGGCTTGATACCAGAGATAAACAGCAAGGACAGACAAAGGAATGTGTGGTCATGAAACTTAACAGTTCGTAAGGTGAGGATCAATTTCTCCTAAGCATTTGGGCACACTGCAGAATAATTTTATATCCAGGATGAAGTAACTGCCTGTGGTAGAACTGTGTCCCAAACCACAGGCTCTGAGATTTTGTAGTGGCAGAGACAGAAAAGAGCAGGTATTCTCAGAAAAATCATCTTTAAATAATAAAGCAAGAAGAGGTGATCGAAAACACAGGATACGCAAAAGCCCATAAACATAACACTTCCCACCATGATGACATTAAACTTTGAAAAGAACAAACGTGGCTTATATTTACTATTTTTTTTCTCTTTCTACAGCCTACCTCAGCCTCCCAAGCAGCAGGCATAACATGAAGGTTCCTGGAAATGCTGTTTTATTAGATCCCACCTGAAATCTTCTTACCTACCTGGAAAGGCATCCTCTTCCCTCATGAGATTCTCCAGAATCCACTCTTTAGAACCACCAACATCAGGATAAGTCAGTGAGAGCTGCACTCACTTCTCCTACTCCAGGTGAAGACACACTGGCTCACACAAAATCTCCTGGTTGGTCCTCTGGGTTCACACACATTTCTACAGCCCCTCTACTCACAGCCATACACTTGCAAAATCATTTGCTCTCACCAGATCCCCAATATTTTTAACAGGAACCCAGATTAAGGTTTCTGTATATTAAAGCCAACAAGTTTGTTTCTCAGAAAGTGAGTTAATTCAAGGTACGTACCCTGGATGGGTGATGGTAAAATCTGCAACGAGAGAAAAGAAGATGCCATGAGGATCAGATCAATTCTGCTATACCCCTTACACAGACCTGTTAGTTTCTTCATGACTTCAGAAAACTAGTTGTAAAACAGTGGTTGAGTCCATGTCAAAGACAAAGCATTCTAGCATAGAGGACGTGTGTGGAAAATACAAGAGCTTTTCCCACAGAATTTCTTTGAAGTTGATTTAGATTGGTAAATTAGTACAATGCGTAATTCAAAGAGGAAAACTGGTGTGGACGAAAATCCCTCTGCATTACAGTTGATGATGGATGCTGTCATTTAAAAACATCCAGCGTGTCATGTATTAGATGGGAAGACGTTCCCACTGAACTCCACCCCAAGAAGGACTATTGTGTATGTTGCACATAATATGCCTCATCATATTCTTATATCAACACTAATTGAGAAAGAAAGAAATCAGGTGAAGGAAATTATACAGTAGTCCATTTTTAAGGCAAAGTGCCTTGAACATGTTTAGGTCAGCAAAGGACAGACGGTTGGATAGGCAATGCCGGCTTGTTGGCTCCCCCCTTCCACACCACTTAGTTGTCCTCATTTTAACAAAGAAGTTTAGTCTAAGTTGAAAGTTTACTAGCCTGTAAAATAGCTCTTTGTCTGTTCTTATCAGCCTGCCCAGCTACTTAGGTCATAAGTCAAATACTTGAAGAGCCCCTGAGCTGACTAGGATAGCAATGCATTGTGGATTGCTTGTTGAAACTGTGCTGGGTGTGTCTGCCCATCAGACACCCGATCTTGCAAGACCATCATTAAAAGTGTCACTTTCTCTGTTCTACAGGCCTCTGAGTCCATTCTTTGGGTGTGGATGGGTGAGTTTGTTTCTCATATCAGGAAAGCAACATTTCCTCAGAAGGCAAAGAAAGGGGGTCTTACCTGGGCATCATCATAGTCTTCCTCACTTGGTGGTAGAGATTTTAAATTCAGGCTGTCCTCAAGGGGACCTAAAAGGACACAGAGTTAATGTCAGTGCTCTGGTGGTTGGAGACTGTGAGTCCCTCAGGGAGTTTTGCTGGATGCGGCATATGGAGCATGGGACTGAAGATTCTGAGACCATCTCAGACAAACAACTATGTTCAAGTAGTGAGCATGAGAGAGTCTCACCAGATACCTTGCATCTTAGTCAGTGCCTGGACCTAATAAGACTCTTGCATTCCCAAGTCAAAGATCAAGGCTTTGATGTTTGCTGTGAGATAGACAAGACAAACTGGTCTTTTGGAAAGATAACCATTAAACACCAGAGCAAGAAAAAAATGGTTACAAACACAGCACACAAAGCCCATGGACATAAATTGTCTCATCTCTATCTTATTAAAATACAAAAGGAACATGTCAGACTTCTACATATATTTCCTTTCGTTCTGTCTTCATTGCTCTTTTCCTACATTCCAAAGCAACAGGTGTCACCCAGCTGCTCCCAGAGATCCTCCTAGAGTATCATTCTCTACCTGCAGATCTGCCTCACTGCAGCTGCCCTCATGGATGCGGTCCACTGGCCAATCTTTACAGACAAAAACTCCACAAGAAGTTATTCCAGAGAGCAACTCGCCCACCCTCCTACTCCAGGTGAGGCCACACTGGGTTACAAGAGATCACTCTGCCCTTCTCTCGGTGTTGTCAGACTCTCCCTGGGCTCTGGGGAGTCAGAGGTCTCTAGAAACGCATCGCTCACACTTGCCAACCTTCGAGTGAGAAAGAGGAACTGAAGGAACCACGTTTCAACTTTTTCCTTCCACTGGCCCATTATAGGTCTCACCTCCAATCTCACAGCCCTGAGATTCCCACTTTGATGTGCACGCTTTGAGTTAGAGGAGTTCAATAATCGATCCCTCAGCCAGGCTCACAGCAGATGTGAAAGAGCATTCTGTTGGGCCATTGCATGGTGGCTGTTGTGATGAGGTTCTTTTTTTTTGTTAATTTTTTGAGATGGAGGATCACTCTTGCTGCCTAGGCTGGAGTACAACGGCATGAACTCGGCTCACTGCAACCTCTGCCTCCCGGGTTCAGGCGATTCTCCTGCCTCAGTTCCCGAGTAGCTGGGATTACAGGCACGCACCACCACACACAGCTAATTTTTGCATTTTTAGTAGAGATGGGGTTTCACCATGTTGGCCAGGCTGGTCTCAAACTCCTGACCTCAAGTGATTCACCCGCCATGGCCTCCCAAAGTGCTGGAATTACAGGTGTGAGCCACCATGCCAGGCCCTGAACTTTTACTTGTAAATACTTAAATGTATTTAAATATAAAGAGTCACATATATGACTGATAACCACACTAGACGGCACAGGAAATCCAGACATGAGGAAGACATGACCCCCTCCCCTGGTGTTTCCTTGCGAAATGGTTTACAGCTGTGCTCCCACCATACATTTATGGTAACTTCCTGGGCATGTGCATAAGGGCCAGTCACTGTGTGGGGCTGGGGATATGACAACAATGAGGACAACATCCAGGTCCAGAAGGATTCCAGCAGGGGGCGCATGTGCACACAGGGGAAGACCGTGGCCCTGCACTCCCTGTCTAGACACCATCAGAGAAGCAGGAGCCGAGGGGCAGGGACACCTCACTGTCCTCAGGAGCTCAACCTCATCTCCAGGGACCCTGACTCAGAAGCTGGGGCAGGCTCAAGGATTGGTGTAGGGCTCAACAGGCTGGACAGGCTGAGAAGGGAACATTTCCACATGTGCGCTAGATCCCAGCCCAGGGCTGACCTAGAACTCATCCCAGGGATGTGTTCACTACGGTGCCCATGGGGCCTAACATGTTCTCCCCACGACTGAGCTCTGGGGTAAGGACTAATGAGGAAGACACAGTCACTGCCCTGGCAGGAAACACCCATAGCCAGGGTTCCTCTATCCACCCTGTGGGAAGACACAACACAGATAGAGTTTGACACTGAAGATTCCAAACCTTCTATAAAATAAGTGGAAACTGATGTGTTCTGGATTCCACAGAAGAGTTGCAAGGATGAGCTGGACTCTGGAATCAGTCCTCATCACTTTGCTGAGCTCCTGGTGCACTGGAACTCATGTCCTTCCCCACCTCCCCTGCTACTCAGGAGTGCTGCAGCTACAGGCCCAGTGCTAGGGGGTCTGTCTAGTTGAAACACATGTCAGCCAGGCATGGTGGCTCACACCTGTAATCCCACCACTTTGGTAGGCTGAGGTGGGCGCATCTCCTGATATCAGGAGTTCGAGACCAGCCTGGCCAACATGGAGAAACCCCGTCTGTACTACAAATACAAAAATTAGCTGGGCGTGGTGTCGTATGCCTGTAATTCCAGCTACTCAGCAGGCTGAGGCAGGAGAATCACTTGAACTTGAGAGGTGGACGTTGCAGTGAACTGAGATCACACCACTGCACTACCCCAGCCTGGGCAACAGAGTGAGATTCCATCTCAAAAAAAAACAAAAACAAAAACAAAAAAACACACACATTTGTGGCCAGACAACCCTTGGCCAATAGTGTCTCCTCAAGGACCATTCCTCAAGTGGCTTCCAGAAGAGCTGAAAAAGAAAAACTCATCTGTCCCAGCCCCAGGAAGATCAGGCCTGGGACCTGTCTGTGTCTGTCTTGACTTGTGTCCTGTCTGCTCTGTGTCAGAGAAGTGGGGACCTGATTCCTGTTCTGCCTCCTCACCAATTTCTGCTGGTGTCACTGTCATCATCGCACAGAGATGGAGAAGACAAGAGAAAGCAATGAAACTCCATTCTTCAGGCATTCAGGATGATGTCCACACCATGCTCTCGGCAGACAGGAAGGCCAGGTCCTGCTCACTCCTACTCAGAAGGGGTCTCGGAGATATGTGTACTAACCCTGTTAGACATTTCTCCTCTGCTCTTCTCTTCCTTTTTTTTTTTTGAGATGGAGTCTTGCTCAGTCACTCCGGCTGGAGTGCAATGGCTTGATCTCAGCTCACCGCAACCTCCGCCTCTTGGGTTCAAGTGATTCTCTGTGTCAGACTCCCGAGTAGCTGGGATTACAGGTACACGCCACTACACCCAGCTAATTTTTGTATTTTCAGTAGAGACAGGGTTTCACCAGGTTGGTCAGGCTGGTCTCGAACTCCTAACCTCAGGAAATCCACCCACCTCGGCCTCCCAAAGTGCTGGGATGACAGGTATGAGCCACCATACCCAGCCCATGTCTTCCATTTCTTTACACTGTGTGTGTGTCCACTGAGTCAGTGGCTGCTCATGCTCGCCCCAGCCCCTGACAGTGGGACAGTCCATCACGGGGTGAGTGCTGAGCCTCGCTCACCTAGCTGTGCAGGAGGTCTCCAGTGAGGGTGATGGCCACCAGGCTAATGATAATGCTGTCCTGAGTTCTGATGTGGCACTGGCCCTTGTCTGTCTGCTATGGATTGGAGCATCTCTTTTTATTTATTTCTTTATTTTTCTGAGACAGAGTCTCACTCTGTCACCCAGGCTGGAGTGTGCAGTGGCTCAATCTCGGCTCACTGCAACTTCCACCTCCCAGGTTCAAGTGATTCTCCAGCCTCAGCCTCCCAAGTAGCTGGGATTACAGGTATGGGCCACTATGCCCGCTAATTTTTGTATTTTTAGTAGAGACAGGCTTTCACCACATTGGCCAGGCTGGTCTCAAACTCCTGACCTCAGGTGATCTGCTGCCTTGGCCTCCCAAAGGGCTGGGATTACAGGCATAAGCCACCATGCCCAGCCATGGATTGGAGCATTTCTAAGGCTTGAGGTAGTCCTGTTATTAAATACAATGCAGTATCTTCCTGATCTTCCCTGCTTTGACCAAGTGTTGACGAATGAGCCCAGCACTGACAGATGTTGGCCTGCACTGTTCTACATGATCCCTTATACTTCTCAGAATCTGTGAGCTGCCCAGAAGCCTGTGGGCTTTCTATGTGTATTTCACACTAATGTCCATGCCAACATCTGTTCTTCCGTGTACCTTTGCTACCACCCAGGGTTATGTGACCACTGGGGCCCCATTTGATGATGGGAAAAGTTTGGCAGCTTATAGGCCACACAGTTCCAGGGGCACACATAGGTGCTGGAGCTCCCTGGTGTGGGGTCCTGTCCCCAAGCCTGAGTGATGACACAGGTGAGTCATACAGACCATCAACATTGGGACCCATTTCTGGGTTCACTTTTGCCTCCTCCATTCAGGTGGTCAGAATCTGGGTTCACTCCTTTCTGCACTCTCTCCAGCTAAGGAGTAGGGATATTAAACTGACCTTCAGGTACAGCTGGGGTGAGGGAGGAAAGAGGTCATTTATGTGAATTGTATGGTTTTGCTGAAGTTTTTCTTCCTTTTTATTAGAAAACATGATTCGGGAGGCTGAGGTGAGAGGACCACATAGGCCAGGAATTCAAGAAAAGTGACACTTGTACAGTGCTGGGCATGCGGGGCCACAATTTTTGGGGAAAACACACATTTACAAACACACTCACACTCACTACACATGGATTCACCCCTAGCTACCTCTCAACCCTCCTGCACACAAACCCACACCATTTAAATGATATGGCTGTTTCCAGGGACTCTAGTGGATGATCACAGTTCTTCACTGAGCCATCTGTTTCTCACACTACACTCCAGGTCCTCACTCTTATCAGGAGCCGGAAGCCAGGCAGGCTCTCCAGACAAAAACAGGCAAGAGAGTCCCCCGCGACCCATCACTTAGATTTGTCATCAGCAAGGGAGTGGTCTTAGAATACGAATAGTGTTAGAGAGGAGAACACCACACACTGGGGCCTGTCAGGGGACAGGTGAAGGGACAGCATCTGCATAAACAGCTAATGCACGCAGGGCTTCATACCTAGGTGATGGATTGACAGGTGCAGCAAACCACCATGGCACACTTTTACCCATGTAATAAACCTGTACATCCTGCACATGTATCTCAGAACTTAAAAAAAATTAAATTACAGGCTGGGCATGGTGGTTCATGCCTGTAATCCCAGCACTTTGGGAGGCTGAGGTGGGTGGATCATGACGTCAGGAGATAGACACCGTCCTGGCTAACACGGTGAAAACCCGTCTCTACTAAAAATATAAAAAATTAGCCGGGTGTGGTGGCTTGCACGTGTAGTCCCTACTCCGGAGGCTGAGGCCAGAGAATCGCTTGAACCCAGGAGGCAGAGGTTGCAGTGAGCTCAGTGAGCTGAGATCGCACCACTGCACTCCAGCCTGAGCAACAGAGCGAGACTCCATATAAATGAATAATTAATTAATTAATTAATTAATTAAAAAAAATAAGCTACCTTAAGGGATGGAAGAAATAATCTGACCCTTACCTGGTTCCTCCATTTAGGTACCAAACTGGCTGGATAGGTCGGCTAGAGAATGGGACGGGGACTCCAAAATTGGGGTTTTGAAATTTCATTGAGAAGAGGGCTCTCCCTTTTCTAGATCAAAAAAGCCTCAACGACAAAGACAAGAGGCAGAGTCAGCCTTTGCCCCCATGTCCCAGGCCTGGGAGAGCTGGCTATGGGCAGGAGGGAGCTGGAAGCTGAGGATGTCTCTGGGGATGAGGGTATGGGAAGGGTGGCCAGAGGTGTGCCAGAGAGTAAACGACACCCATGGCTTTTTTACCTGTGGGCATCTTTTGGTTGCTGATGTGCTGCAGGTCGTGGCCCTCCGTGGCTCCCACATGCAGCTTGCCAGGCTCTACAGTAGTGGATTCTGATGTTGCAGCAGCCACAGCCTCATAAGTATCAGATTCATAACAGGGTTCCTCCTCCCCATTGCAGCAGCCACAGATGGAGTCGATACAACAGGTCAGTATACACCCCATGGGGCACCCACACTCCAGTACTGCCTGAGCCTTTGATGAAACTGAAACGGTGCTGCCCGAGCAGCCACAGTACTGAGGCTGGCACAGCACTTGTAGAAGCAGCCTGACTCCAGGCAGATCTGGGGCCTCAGCCCTTACTTTGCCACTACTTTCTAAAGTGGCTGGTCTATGATGTCGGGGACCTGCTGTCTTCTCTGAAAAATAAATGAACACGACAAGCGTCGAGAGGCACAAAAACTGCTGGGACACAGCACAGTCGGAGCTCCTCCTACTCCTCCTCCTAGCTACCGACTGAGGGCTGCTGGCCCTGGCTGATGCCTATAACCCACAAATCTTCCTATGTCACCTGGTTACCAGGAAACAGCCAGGCCAGGCTAGTGACTCACAATGTCCAGCCCCACAGCCCCACCCAAGGCCTCACAATGCCCATCCCTGCTGCTGCCCACCTTGTGGCCACCCTGCCCCCTGTGCTGACTGCACTACTCAGGCTTTTATTCACCCTGGGCTGCCTGAGCTTTCCAGTCCTGAGAAAAGTGCAGGGGGGTTGTTATTGGAAGTCACCCTTAGCAATAAACTCAATAGAAAACCCTGGTACAGCCGGGAGCGGTGGCTCACGCCTGTAATCCTAGCACTTTGGGAGGCTGAGGGGGGTGGATCACCCGAGGTCAGGAATTCGAGAGCAGCCTGACCAACATGGTGAAATCCCACCTCTACTAAAAATACAAAACATTAGCTCAGCGTGGTGGCGGGCACCTGCTATCCTAGCTACTCAGGAGGCTGAGGCAGGATAACTGCTTGAATCCAGGAGGCAGAGGTTGCACAGTGAGCCAAGATTGCACCATTGCACTCCAGCCTGGGTGACAAGGGTGTCTCAGGAAAAGAAAAAAAAAAATGAAAGAAAGCCTCAGTTACTAAAGTCATTTCCACCAGCATTTCTGTTTTTCAGAGTCTGACAGCTTTCATTTGCTCACCAAATGTAGTTATACACAAATTTTTGACTGCTTTTCTAACTAAATGCTTCTCTCCTGTCGTACAAGAGTTAGTTCTTATCTGCCACTTGACCATAGCTACGCCCAGGGCCCTGGTCCCACTCTCAGTAGAGAGTTATGGCTGTGTATCCTGAATGAAAGCCTGGGACACATCACACTTTCCCCTCCTGGTCTATAAAATAGGGACGGAACACATCCGTCCCAGCTCTGTAATGCTACGACTTACCAACTCCCTTTTCTCCCTCTGTTTCTTCTTTCCATGGCAGGCGTACTCAGATATTTCTTTTATTTACTTATTTATTATCTTTTGAGATGGAGTGTCACTCTGTCGACCAGGCTAGAGTGCAGTGGCATGGTCTCGGCTCACTGCAACCTCCACCTCCCAGATTCAAGCGATTCTCCAGCACCAGCCTCCCGAGTATCTGGGACTATAGGCATATGCCATCACATCTGGCTAATTTTTGTATTTTTAGTAGGGACGAGGGTTTCACCATGTTGGTCAGGCTGGTCTTGAACGCCTGACCTCAGGTGATCTGCCTGTCTCGGCCTCCCAAAGTGCTGGGATTACAGGCGTGAGCCATCACGCTCGGCCTCAGATATTTCTTTCACTAACAAATCACAAAGCAATAGTTTCTTATACAAAATTGAGAACCCCACAGTGCGTTACCATTGTCCTCATAGGATAAAGATGAACAGTCAACATCTGGCAAGCATTATGTGCCTGACAGTGTTCCAACTGTGGCATACTCATTTAACCCTCAGAAACAGTCCCATTGTACACATTTTACAGCATAAATCTAGATGGAAAAATCAAGTAACTTCCCCAAGGTCCCATGACTGCTCAGTGAGTTTAGGCGGATGAGCAAACAAAGGCTTAGAGTTCAGTTGTCTGAGGCTACACTGCTGGACAGTGGATTAACCTGGAATACAAAGGCTCATTCACTGTCCAGCACTAGAGTTGAAGTAGAGTTTAAATTTTGTTCCGGAAACATAAGAGTCACTGAACCACACAGAAGTGAGGAGTCTCTATCAGATGTGTTTGCAGTGAGGTCTCTCTGCACAACAGAGAAGGGCTGACAGAAGCAATGGGACCAATTAAGAGACATTATGTTGGGAGGCCAAGGTGGCTGGATCATTTGAGGTCAGGAGTTTGAGAGCAGCTTGGCCAACATGGTGAAATCCCATTTCTATTAAAATTACAAAAATTAGCTGGGCGCAATGATAGGCGCCTGTAATCCCAGCTACTTGGGAGACTGAGGCAGGAGAATCATTTAAACCTGGTGGGCAGAGTTTGCAACGAGCCGAGATAGTGCCACTGCACTCTAGCCTGGGCAACAGCGTGAAACTCCGTCTCAAAAAAAAAAAAAAAAAGATAGTTTTGGACTTTTAAGTATTGCATTGAAATGGAGCTCTCTGGTAGAAAATTGGATAGAAACCTCTGTAGGCTAAATCCATTCTGTGACATCACAACTCATGTTTTAAAAAATACACATACAAAGTCAAATCATTAAGGAAATATCCTAAAATTTACATATTAAAATATAAGAACTTTTTAGTTATTACTTAGAGCAACTTTGAATTTACAATCGTAGTGAATGAGGTGACATGTAAAATAAAGCTGTTATATAAAAACAACATTTAAATTTTATTGTCATCAGAGCATAGAGAAGACAATTGAAGCCATGGGTACGGCAGGGATTGCTTTAAAAAGCTGTGCCTCACAAGAGGAGTTGGAAAGAAAGGAGACTTGGGGGCCGGGCGCGGTGGCTCATGTCTGTAATCACAACACTTTGGGAGGCCTAAGTGGGAGGATCACCGGAGGTCCGGAGGAGTTCAAGACCAGCCTGGCCAACATGGCAAAACGCCATCTCTACTAAAAATACAAAAATAAGCCAGGTGTGGTGGTGGGCACCTGCAATCCCAGCTATTCAGGAGGCTGAGGCAGGAGAATTGCTTGAACCCAGGAGATGGACATTGCAGTGAGCCAAGATGGTGCCACTGCACTCCAGCCTGGGTGACAGAGCAAGATTCTGTCTAAAAAACAAAATAGAAAAGAAAGAAGACTTGGGGAATAGGGAGGTTTAACTGGCATTAAGTAAAGCCTGTAAATGTGAGCAGTGAGAGTCAGGGTACCTGAGTGTTCATCAGAAATGGCTGATCGGGTGAGTCTCGTCACAATGGAGATGGCGTCTGCTTCTCATTTCTCTAATGGCCGTACCTAGCACAGTAGCTGGTCAACAGGGACTCAATACCTAATACCTCAATGAACACAGTAAAATTCTGCCAGTTCAAAAACATGTCCATACCCACCAACTTCCCTCATGGAGTTTTACTTCTTTCACTTACTGTAATGTTTTGAAGTTCATCCCTCCTGTGGCCTGTATCCATAGTTTCTTTTCTTTGTATAACTGAGCAACACTCCACTGTATGCACAGACCACATGGGTCTATCCATTCTCTAGCTGACGGACACTTGGGTTGTTTCCAGTTGTTGCCTGTAGTGAATGAGGCTGCTGAGAACATTTATGTATACATCTTTTTGAACACACGCTTTCATTTCTTCTAGATAAAATTCCTAGGGCTGGAATTGCTAGGTCAAATAGCTAGTTTATGCTTAGCTTCTTTTTTGCCTTTCTTATTCATAGAAAATATTACACCGATACATAATATTGGACATTTCTATGAGGCGTATGTGCTGTTTGGTTCCGTGCATCCAACATGTCATCATCAAGTCAGGACATTTGGGGTATGGACTTGAGTATTTATCATTTATATGTGTTGAGTGTATTTCAACACTATTTTGTAGCTATTTTGAAATATACAATACATTATTGCTAACCATAGTCACCCTACTCTGCTATCCAACATTAGAACACACCCCTTGCATCTAACTGTGTGTATTCATTGACCAACCTCTCTGCATTCCCTTCTTATACCCGGAGGAGAGAGGAAGGAGGGAAAGGAGCTGTGGGTGGCTGAATTAGGCCCAGGGATGGCTGTGTCCCAGTCCCGGGACCTGTCCATGTGCTGTGTTGTGTGGCCACAGGGACTTTACAAATGTGAGGATGTGAAGGCGCCTGAGGTGGAAGATGATCCTGGGTTATCTGGGTGGGTCCAAGGTGGGGTCTTTATAAGGGAAAGGAGGAGGCAGGAGGGAGGGAGGGAGGGAGGGAGAGAGAGAGACGGAGAGAGGGAGAGGTAGGAGAGAGATTTGAAGATACTGAGCTCTGGCTTTGAAGTTGGAGGAAGGTGCCAGGACCCCAGGGCATCCTCTAGAAGCTGGAAAAATCCTGGAAATGGATTTCCCCCAGAGCCCTCAGAAGGAGCCTGGCCCGGCTGGCACCCTGATTCTAGCACTCTGGGATTTATTTTGGACGTCTGACTCCAGACCAGGGAAATAATCAATGTGTAATGTTTTAAGCCTCTAAATTAGGGGTCATTTGTGACAGCAGCAGCCACAGGAAAGTCAAACAGGAGCCATGGGACAGACTCCCTAGGATGCCCCGAGCGTCCCTCCCTGGCCCCACCCACAGAAACACAGGCCTGACCACTGCTGGTGCCGATGCCCCGAAAGCCCCTCCTGGCCCCACCCACAGAAACACAGGCCTGACCACTGCTGGTGCCCCCACTCCTCTAACACCCTGCCCAGCAGGAACCAAAGCAGGAGGGGGCTGGGTGACTGGCCATGCTCTCTCCCCCACACCTCTTCTCAGAGAGCAGCTGGAGCCCCAGGACCCAGGAGCCTCAGAGAGAAATTCCCAACACAGGACTCCTGTTTTCCACCTGAGGCTCAGGATCCAATGGAGAAGTGTTTCCCAAAAATGATGCTTCCTCCAAAGATGGCCAGTGACTTTCTGTGCCAAGCATCTGAGAAAATCTCCATGTCCTAGGGCTGCCAGGCAGTCACCTGTGCGTATGTCAGAGCCCAAATCCCATCAACAGTGAGGCCTTGGGTAAAACACATCCCCACTTTTAATTATGATGAGCTGCCTGGCCTCAGCACTGAGAACACCAACTTCTCTACAGCAAAGACTTCTTTAATCTCTTAGAAATGATGGAGCACACCAGCCTGAACAACTGGGGAAACGCTGTCTGTAATAAAAATACAAAAATTAGCCAGGCATTGTGGCATGTACCTGTAATCCCAGCTACTCAGGAGGCAGAGGCAGGAGAACCGGTTGAACCTGGGAGGCGGAGGTTATGGTGAGCCGAGATTGTGCCACTGCACTCCAGCCTGGGCGACAGAGCAAGACTCCATTTAAAAAAAAAAGAAAGAATGGAGCATCAATTACCCTTCTTGCACTTGTTCCTGGGGGGCTCAGAGCCTATCTTTTGCAAGTGTCCTGAGCCTCTTGCAAGCTTTTCATGTTTCCTTCCCGGCTTCCTCCTATTTTTCTCATACCTCTGAACTTGCTGTCAGGTGAAAAATCAAGGTGGGTCCAAAACTTAAGAGCTCGTGAATTTGGTGGTGTTGGAGTGTCCTGGACAGTCCAACCCTCGGGGGTGGGGAGTTGGGCAGAGAGGAAGGAGGGCATTCCAGGGGACAGGGCCAGAAGCAGAGGGACTCCAGGCCCAGAGTAGGATTTCCAGGCTGAGGAAAGACAGGCCGTGGGTGGGTAGAGGGTCCAGACCAGGACAGGGACAGAGGGTGTATCTGGAGGATCAGCCACAAATAGCTCCCTCCAGAAAACAGGCAGCGAGTTGGGGGTTGAGCTGTAAGGAGGAAGGGGAGGTGGGACAGAATGGAGGGACCGGTGTTCAGTGAGCTGACTCATCCTATCCTGGCCTATTTCGCCAGGGTCACCCCTGGGAGACTGTGATCCTCCCCTCCAGGTTACTTTCCCACTGGTGCCAGGATTCCCCCAACACCACACTGAGAATCCAGGAGAAGCATCAAATCATATGAGAGATATGAAGAGAGGGAGCAGGATTTCTGGTTGACCAAGAGGATATTTATTGAGGGTTTACTGGGTACAGGGAGAAAGGCTGGATGACTTGGGATGTAGAGAGACCCCTCCCCTGGGATCCTGCAGCTCCAGGCCCCTGTGGGTGGGGTGAGGGTTGGGAACCTACGAACATTCTGCAGAGGCCACTGTCTTCTCCACGGTGCTCCCTTCATGTGTGACCTGGCAGCTGTACCTTCTGCGGGACCTCCACTGCTCGGGCGTCAGGCTCAGGTAGCTGCTGGCTGCGTACTTCTTGCTGTTTGGAGGGTGTGGTCATCTCCACACCCTGGGTGATGGGGGTACCATCTGCCTTCCAGGTCACCGTCAAGATTCCCGGATATAAGTCACTCTTGTGACACACCAGCGTGGCCTTGTTGGCTTGGAGCTCCTCAGAGGATGGCGGGAACAGAGTGACCGAGGGAGTGGCCTTGGGCTGACCTGTGTGGACAGAGGAGGGGATGAGAGATGGCAGAGGCAGAGTGGGGTGTTGTGGAGCGCCTCTCTCTGTCTAAAGTCTCTGGGAAGGTTCACGGTGTGGTTGTCTGGTCCACCCAGGGCCTCTCCCTCCCTCTTTATTCCCTCCTTTCCACTGGAACCCTCTGGAGAGCAGACAGCCCTGCACCTTGCTAGGGGCCTTCCCAAGTCACCTTTCCCAGGTGTCCTGGCCCAGTCATTTCCTCTGCAGCCTCGGTTTCCCCGTGTGTACCCAGGGCAGGCTGTGCTCCCTCCTTCCTGGTTTCTGGAGTCTGAGTTTGGAATCTAAGTATCTCCCCCACAGCACACAAAACCGTCCTGGCAGGGAGTGGGGAGGCCCAAGCCTGGCATGGCCTGGAGCTTCCTGTCCCCGGGAACACCAGGCTGTGTCCCAACCTGGCCCATTCAGCTCTCCTGGTGAAGCAGGGGCTCCACCCAGACAAACCCTGGGGCTCTGCCGTCGCCCTGTCCCCACCAGCCCGACCACAGGACTCTTCACATTGGCTGGGTTCTTGGGGCTGCTCCCCCTGACTTCGGGGCACCGCAGCCCCCATGCCCACCCCAGCAGCCTCTGATGCCCCTGGACTTCACCTGGTGGCCATGGAGTTCTCTCTACCCGTTTCCTCCCCGCTAGTCACCTTCTAAAGTGCCCTTCCTCAAATGAAGGCGGGAGATCGACCCGTGAAGAGAGACCGGGCCCCAGAGGTGACGGGGCTCCAGGGACAGACACATCTCTGCCCTAAGAGACCCTCTCCTTTCTTGTGACTGTCCTGGGAGAGCTGGGATGTCCGACCTCACCCAGTTTCACCCATCCCTCTGTGTCCCCATGTCCTCACGACCCAGCACAGGCCACAGAGCTGCAGCCTAGACCCAGAACCCTCTCTGTGCCCTCCATTGGGACTCCCCTTGGGGTAACCCCTGTGTCCCCAGGCCGCTGGGTAGCCCTCCCAGGCTGGATGGGCATCCAGCCTCAGCCTAGACCCTGGGGTCCCAGTGACTGTCTCTAAGGCTACTGCAGGGCCCCTCATCAGAACCGGCCTCTGTCCTTCACTCAGACTTGTGCCCTGGGAGAGGGGAGGAGCCCTAACCCTGCCCAATTCCAACACAGGCCCCAGGACCAGGCTGTGTCCCACTGCTGGAACCTGAAGGTGGCTGCTCCCACTGTGGGAGCCCTTCCTGCCGGTTACCCTGAGACCAGCCCGCTTCCCCCAGATCCCATGGAGAAACGCCATGCTTAAGGCTTGGAGGGCAGAGGGGAAGAAGCCCTAGAAAAAGAAAACAGATTTTTCCAGGGACAGGAGAGGGTGGGACAGGCTGGGAAAGGTTGTGAGAGCCACGTACCTAAAACAGTGAGCTGGGTCCCATGTTAGCCAGGATGGTCTCGATCTCCTGACCTCATGATCCGCCCGTCTCAGCCTCCCAAAGTGCTGGGATTACAGGCTTGAGCCACCGTGCCCGGCCTTGCATATTTAATAGAGGCGGGGTTTCACTGTGTTAGCCAGGATGGTCTCGATCTCCTGGCCTTGTGGTCCCCCCCGCCTTGGCCTCCCACAGTGCTGGGATTACAGGCTGAGCCTCCACGCCCAGCTGTACTACTTTGAATAGGTCTTAATAGGTTTTGATTGTTAATTATTTGTAAATTAATTTCAAAAAGCTTCTACAACATGGATGAAACTTGAAGACATTATACTTAGTGAAATAAGCCAGACACAAAAGGACAAATGTCATTTGAATCCACTTTTATGAGGTACCTAGAATTGGCAAATCCACATAGACAAAAAGTAGAAGAGGTTATCAGGGCGAGGGGGAAGGAAGAATGGGGGACTGTAGTTAGTGGGTTTAGAGTTTCTGTTTGGGAAGATGGAAGAGATGGGGTCCCACGATGTTGCCCAGCTCATCTGGAACTCCTGGGTACAAGCAATCCACCCACCTTGGCCTCCCAAAATGCTGAGATTATAGGTGTGAACCACCACACCTGGCCTCCCATCTCTTCAAATTTCAGAACCTTACCTTTCTATCACTATAACACTATTTCCCTCACAGGATGCATGGTCATTATCAAGAAAGGCAGTAAGGGTGAAGATTTCTAGCATTTCTCTCTCAGTCCAGTTTGGTGCTTGCATCTTATTTTGGGTTGCACTTGACATCTTGACATGTGGAATACTTGTCAATTAGGCTTACAACAGCCTTAGAGTGATCATGTGGGTAACCTTGTTGAGATATGATTAAATTCTAACCAAAATGTAGCATCCAAATATAAGACAAATACTTACATGTGATAAATCCTGCATGAAAGAGAGGATAACAGTGCCCACCTCTTGATAATCTGTCTCAAATCAAGGCAGTAAAATTCCTGCAGAGAAAAAAAACAAAAGCATGTCTGTCAGCTGCTGGCCTGTGTTAGAGAGGGCTCTTTCTAGGGGCACCAGAGGGAATGGAGTGTAATTCAAACTGGAAGCCTTTTAAACCAGAGCTAGCTCACCTATTGAGGCTATACCTTTTAACTCCACTCAACTGCAGTAGTCAGGACTCTTGTTGCAAGTGACAGAAACCCCACTCAAACTAGCTTAAGCCCAAAGACAGGTTTATGGACTGTCTCTTGAAATTCATAGACAAGATAGTTCTATCTCTCAGAACTCACTGGCCTTAAGAAACTGGAGTCAGAGACTCAAATACCACTCTCTCTCTCTGAGATTTGTCCTTATTTCTCAGCAATTCCCCCAATCCTCTAGTTCAAATAATCTGAAGCATGGTTACAGGGAGCTTCTAAATTTTATATTTTGCAATCAGAGAGCCTGGTTCAACTGTCTTTCAGTCTCCGTTCCAAATATCTGTGTAAGGACATTTATTGGACCAGCCTGGGACAGGTGCCTTCCCCTGAATCAATCAGCACTGGACATAGGACGAGTTCACATGATAATCTGGCAACCTAGAAAAACGAAGTAAGAAGTAGAAACAGCCCTTAGAAGATAAGTAATGCCAGACCGACATTGCCATGGGTGTTCTCTCAATCAACAACCCTACCTATCTCTCGGCCTCCCAAAGTGTTGGGATTACAGGCGTGAGCCACCGTGCCTGACCGGGTTTTGTTCTTTCTTAATTTTTTTTTTTCCCCAGAGACGGGTCTAACTATGTTGCCCACACTGGAATGCAGTGGTGTAAACATAGTGCACTACAGCCTTGAACTCTTGGGCTCAAATAATCTTCCTGCCTCAGCCTCCTGGATAGCTGGGGCTACAGGTGTGTATCATCATGCCCAGCTAATTTTTTAAAATTTTATTTTAACTTTTTCTGCAGAAACAAGCTCCTGCCATGTTGCCTGGACTGTTCTCCAATTCCTGACCTCAAGTGATCCTCCCACTTTGGCCTCCCAGTGTTGGGATTACAGGTATAAGCCACTGTTCGAAGCCTTTTATCACATCTTGAAGTCAGTAAGAAATGGATCATCTCATCTGGCTGGGTGCAGTGGCTCATGCCTGTAATTCCAGCACTTTGGGAGGATGAGGCGGGCAGATCATGAGGTCAGAAGATCGAGATCATCCTGGCTAACACGGTGAAACCCCGTCTCTACTAAAAACATAAAAAATTAGCCAGGCATGGCGGTGGGCACCTGTAGTCCCAGCTACTCGGGAGGCTGAGGCAGGAGAATGGCGTGAACCTGGGAGGCGGAGCTTGCAGTAAGCCGAGATCGCACCACTGCACTCCAGCCTGGGTGACAGAGCGAGACTCCATCTCAAAACAAACAAACAAAACAAACCAAAAAAACAAAAACAAAAAAAAGGAAAGAAACAACAAAACCCTAGCAGAATGCTGCCCATAGCTAGTCTTCACTCAGGAATGCCCATTTGGCCACACAGTAGCTCTCAGGAAAAAAACATTAATTAGTTCACCGATAGAGCAAGGAAACTCACTCATTAGCTTTAGGTCTGTTTTAGGGCAGATGGCGTAATTGTATAAAATATCAGGGAGTTATTCAAGAAGCATTCACTGAGAATGTATTCTGTTCATGTTCCACCCTACTCCTTCTACCTTGGTCTTCAGCATCCTGGTTTTCCAGTATCTTTGGGCACTACGCTTTGTGTGTTTTATGAGACAGAGTCTCACTATGTCTCTGAGGCTGGAGTGCAGTGGTGCCATCGCAGCTCACAGCTCACTGCACCCTCCGCCTCCCGGATTCAAGTGATTCTCAAGTTTCAGCCTCCTGAGTAGCTGGGATTACAAGCACATGCCAACACGCCCATCTAATTTTTGCATTCTTAGTAGACACGAGGTTTCACCATGGTGGCTAGGCTGGTCTCAAACTCCTGGCCCTAAGTGATCCGTCCACCACTGCCTCCCAAAGTCCTGGGATTACAGGCATGAGCCACTGCACACAGCCTGCTGTGCTCGCTTTAAATATGGAAATACTGGTATTTTTGTTGGTGTAATACTATTGTTTTGGCCTGAGTCTGAAATCTGAATTATTTTGTATTGAGACTATTCATGGAGTTTTTTGATTCACTAAAATTCCAAATTGAACAAGGATACATTTAATTAATTTAAAAATAATTTTTCCAGGCCGGGTGCAGTGGCTTGGAATTACACCTGTAATCCCAGCACTTTGGGAGACCAAGGCAGGTGAATCATTTGAGGTCTGAAGTTCAAGACCAACCTGGCCAACATGGCAAAACCCAGTCTCTACTAAAAATACAAAAATTACCCAAGTATGGTGGCGCATGACTGTAATTCCAGTTACTCGGAAGGCTGAAGTGGGAGGATCACTTGAACTCAGGAGGCAGAGGTTGCAGTGAGCCGAGATCTCACCACTGCACTCCAGCCTGGTTGACAGAGCAAGACTCTGTCTCAAAATAATAATAATAATTATTATTATTATTATTTCACACTTCTATACTTTACTATCTCCAAGAGTCAGAAGATAACACCAACAAAGCAAAGCATCTGATGCAAAAATATTATTATTTTTTTTGAGATGGAGTGGTCTCCCTCTGTCACCCAGGCAGGAGCGCAGTGGCACAAACTCGACTCACTGCAACCTCTGCCTCCCGGGTTCAAGCGATTCTCAGCTTCCCTGAGTAGCTGGAGTGATGCACCTGCCACCACACTCTGTCAATTTTTGTATTTTTAGTAGAGATGGGTTTTCGCCATGTTGGCCAGGCTGATTACAAACTCCTGACCTCAGGTGATCCACCTGCCTCAGCCTCACAAAGGACTGGGATTACAGACGTGAGCCACCGTGCCCAGCTACTGATGCAATAATAATATTCTTAACACTGGTTCAAAGACTTTTTGAAGAAGCAGATAATGAGCATGACAGAATCAAAACTGATTTGGGGAATTGATTAAAATCTCTATCTAGGTCAGGCATGATGGCTCACACCTGTAATCTCAGCACTTTGAGAGGCCAAGACAGGTGGATCACTTGAGGTCAGCAGTTCGAGACCAGCCCAGCAAACATGGTGAAATCCCATCTCTATTAAAAATACAAAAATTCGCTGGGCGTGTTGGTGTGCACCTGTAATCCCAGCTACTCAGGAGGCTGAGCCACGAGGATCACTTGAACCCAGGTGGAGGAGGTTGCAGTGAGCCACGATGATGGCTGCACTCTAGCCTGGGCAACCATGTCTCAAAAAAAAAAAAAAAAAAAAAAAATCCCAACTCATACATTTTGAAACTGAAAGAGCAAAAGAAAGCAGAACGATTTTTTTGGAGCAAAACACACTGCTTGCTGTCAATAAAAAGATTACAGTCCTAACCCTTCCCAAATAATTCTGTCAGATAATCTCAAAGTTATCAAAATGAAATGGGATTATTTAAACATGAAGGACTTAAAGAAAATTATTTGGCCAGGCACGGTGACTCACACTTGTAATCCCAGCACTTTGGGAGGCTAAGGCTGCTGGATCACTTGAGGTCAGGAGTTCAAGACCAGCCTGGCCAACACGAAGAAATCCTGTCTCCACTAAACATACAAAAATTAGCCGGGCATGGTGGCGGGTGCCTGTAATCCCAGCTACTCCAGAGGCTGAGGCAAGAGAATCGCTTGAACCCAGGAGGCGGAGGGTGTGCGCCTGTAATCCCAGTTACTGGGGAGGCTGAGGCATGAGAATTGCTTGAGTCCGGGAGACGGAGGTTGCAGTCAACTGAGATCTCACCACTGCACTCCAGCCTGGGTGACAGAATAAGACTCTGCCTCAAAAAAAAAAAAAAAAAAAAAAAAAATTATTCAGTGCTATTTTATCTTAAGTGTTTTATGATTAAATGTCTATAATTGTCTATTGCACTGTTTATTATTTTTATTTTATTAAACATTAGGTTCATGGGGCACATGTGCAGGTGTGTTCCATGAGTACACTGCAAAATGCTAAGGTTTGGGCTTCTAGTGAACCCATCACCCAAACACTGACCATAGTACCCAATAAGGAGTTTTTCAACCCTTTTCCCTCCTTCCCTCCCCACCTGTGGAGTTCCCAGTGTCTGTTATTTCCATCTTTATGTCCATTTGAACCCACTGTTTAGCTATTTATTTATTTATTTTTTGAGGCAGTCTCGCTCCTTCACCCCGGCTGGAATGCAGTGGCTGCATCTCAGCTCACTGCAACTTCCCCCTCCCGGGTTCAAGAGATTGTCCTGCCTCAGCCTTGAGTAGCTGCGATTACAGGCATGCACCACCACACCGGGTAAACTTTTGCAATTTTAGTAGAAATGGGGTTTCACCATGTTGGCCAGGTTGGTACCGAACTCCTGGCCTCAACTGATCCACCTGCTCTACCCTCCCAAAGTGCTGGGATTATAGGCATGAGCCACTGCACCTGGCCTATTTTTAAATACTTTTTGTGGAGGCGGGGGTGGGACGAGGTCTCACTCTGTCACCCAGGCTGGGGTGCAATGGCTCAATCATGTTTCCCTGCAGCCTCAAATTCCTGAGCTCAAGTGATCCTCCCACCTCAGCCTCCCGAGCAGCTGGGACTACAGCCACGCACCACCATGCCCAGCTAATTTTTCTATTTTTTGTGGAGACAAGGTCTTGCTATGTTGCCTAGGTTGGTCTCAAACTACTGAGCTCAAGCAATCTACCCACCTTGGCTTCCCAAAGTGCTGGGATTACAGGCATAAACCACTGTCCCTGGCCTAATAATGTAGGATCTTACTGAATGCTTCATAATATGATTTTAAAAGTTTGTATTTGAAATGTATTTAAATATGTAGTTTGATCTTTTGAAAAACATATGAATTCCTAAGAGATTATAAAATACTAGTTGTGCCCAGGAGGTGGAGGTTGCAATGAGCAGAGATTGCACCACTGCACTCCAGCCTGGGTGACAGAGCAAAACTCCAACTCAAAAAAAAAACTAGTTGTGTTAGGGTTCAAACCAGAGAAGCAGAACCAGTAGGATACACAGATCCAGACATAGATAAACATATAGGGACACACATCTGTATAGATTTATAAAAGGCTGTCTTCTGACCAGGCACAGTGGCTCACGCCTGTAATCCCCGCACTTTGGGAGGCTGAGGCAGGCAGATCACCTGAGGTCAGGAGTTTGAGACCAGCCTGGCCAACACGATGAAACTCTGTCTCTACTAAAAACACAAAAATTAGCCAGGCGTGGTGGTGCATGCCTGTAGTTCCAGCAACTCGGGAGGCTGAGGCAGAATTGCTTGAACCCGGGAGGCGGAGGTTACAGTGAGCCAAGATTGTGCCACTGCACTCCAGCCAGGGTGACAAAACTAGACTCCGTCTCAAACAAACAAAAAAGCTATATACAGACATACATCTAGATAGATAGATAGATTGGTAAAAGCTTGGCTTCTGCATTTGTGGGGTTGGCTAAGCAAGCCCAGAGCCCGCAGGACTGGCCGTCAGGAAACGACAATCACCGGTGGGCTGGAGTCGCACAGGCAGGGCCAAAGCTTGCTTTTCACAGGCACTCAGGAAGAAAGATCCAGAGGGAAGGGAGCACAATTGTGGACTCGGCTGCTATTTGAAGTCTGTGCTCCAGGAAGTCCTAAGCCCTCTCTTTTTTTAAAAAACATAAACTTTTTGGCTGGGTGTGGTGGCACGTGCTGTAGTCTCAGCTGCTCAGGAGGTTGGGGCAGGAGAATTGCTTGAGCACACGAGTTAGAATCTAGCCTGAGCAGCATACCAAGACCTTGGTTCTAAAAAAAGGTTTAAAAAATAGTCCGGCCGCGGTGGCTTACGCTTGTAGTCCCAGCACGTTGGGAGGCCAAGGCGGGTGGACTGCTTGAAGCCAAGAGTTCAAGACCAGCCTGGCCAACACGGTGAAACCCCATCTCCACTAAAAATACAAAAATCAGCCAGGCGCGGTGGTGCATGCCTGTAATCCCAGCTGCTCGGGAGGCTGAGGTGGAAGAATTGCTTGAACCTGGGAGGCAGAGGTTGCAGTGAGCCAACATCGCACTGCTGCATTCCAGCCTGGGTGACAGAGCAAGACCCTGTCTCAAAAAAATAAATACAAAAGATTTTAAAAATAAAACACTTTTAATTTCTTAATTATTTTTTCTTTAGCAGCACATTGAGAAGTTGAGTACACTTTTTAAAACAGTTTTAGAATTACAGACAAATTGCCAAGACAGCAGAGTTCGCACATACCCTTGTACCTGGCTTCCTTCTTATGAACATCTTAAATTAGTATGGTAAATTGCTACAGGTAAAAACCTGGCTAGGGATGGTACCTCACGCCTATGATCCCAGCACTTTGGGAAGCCAAAGTGGGAGGATTACTTGAGTCTTGGAATTCAAGACTAGCATGGGAAATACAGTGAAACCTTGTTTCAGTTTAAAAAAAATTTTAAGGCCGGGAGCGGTGGCTCACACCTATAATCCCAGCACTTTGGGAGGCCAAGGCGGGCAGATGACCTGAGGTCGGGGGTTCGAGACCAGCCTGACCAACATGGAGAAACCTCGTCTCTATTAAAAATACAAAATTAGCCAGACGTGGTGGCGCGCGCCTGTAATCCCAGCTACTCGGGAGGCTAATGCAGAAGAATCGCTTGAAACCAGGAGGCAGAGGCTGCGGTGAGCTGAGATCTTACCACTGCACTCCAGCCTGGCCAAGAAGAGCAAAACTCCGTCTCAAAAAAAAATATTTAACGAAAAAATTTTTGGAGAGGTGGGGTCTTGCCCTGTTGACCAGGCTGGAGCATAGTGGCACAGTCACAGCTCACTGCAGCCTCAAACTCCTGGGCTCAAGCAATTCTCCCTCCTCAACCTCCCTAGCAGCTTGGCCTGTAAGTGCATACCACCATGCTGACTAACCAAAAGAAAAAAAAAAAATCTTAGAGAGATGTAGTCTCGCTATATTGCCCAGGCTAGTCTCACACTCCTGACCTCAGGATCTTCCCACTTTAGCCTCCCAAAGTACTAGGATGTGAGTCACCATCCCCGGCACCAATAAACCAATACCGATACATTATTATACATTATTATCAACTAAGGTTCATCTTTACTATTCTTTACTATTTCCCCTGTCCTTTTCCTGTCCCAAGATCTCATCCAGGAGACCATACTATGTTTAGTTTTTAAGTCTCCTCAGGATTGCCGGAGTGCAGTGACTCTATCTCAGCTCATTGCAACTTCCGACCTCTGAGTTCAAGCGATTCTCCTGCCTCAGCCTCCCAAGTTGCTGGGATTACAGGCTCCTGCCACCATGCCCGGCTAATTTGTTTGTTTTTTGAGAGGGAGTCTCCCTGTCGCCCAAGCTGGAGTATAGTGGGGCAATCTTGGCTCACTGCAACCTCTGCTTCCTGGGTTCAAACGATTCTCCTGCCTCAGCCTCCTGAGTAGCTGGGATTACAGGTGTGTGCCACCACACGCTGGTTTTATTTTTTTTGAGACAGAGTTTGAGATGGGGTTTCACCACGTTGGCCAGGCTGGTCTCGAACTCCTGGCCTCAGGTCATCCACCCACCTCAGCCTCCCAAAGTGCTGGGATTACAGGTGTGAGCCACCTGCCCAGCTTGGCTAGTTTTTTGTTTTTTTAATGCAGTAGCTGGGGTCTTGCTATGTTGCCCAGGCCTCCCAAAGTGCTAGGATTACAGGCGTGAGCCACCGCTCCTGGCCTAGGAGGTCACTGTGATACCCTGTTTGAAGGGGATGGGGCCTGGACAGGACAGAGGCTGTGATGGGAGCCCCCTCTTCCCTTCCCATCTATGACTCTCACTGCTCTTACCCAGTTTTCTATGCTTCCAGTTTAAGTTTTAAATTTTATTTTTTTAGAGACAGGGTCTCAGTCTGTTGTCCAGGCTGGAATACAGTGGTGTGATCACAGCTCACTGCAGACTCCATTCCTAGGTGCAAGTGATCCTCTCGCCTCAGCCTTACAAGCAGCTGAGATGATGTGCATGGGCCACCACGCTGTGCTAGTTATTAATTATTGGGTAGAGACAGGGTCTCCTTCGATTGCCCAGACTCGTCTCAAACTCCTGGTCTCAAGCATCCTCGCACCTTGCCCTTCCAAAGTGCTGGGATTACAGGCGACCCCGCTCTGCCTCTCCAGTCCCTGACCATCCCCACAGGCCAGCCCCAAAAAGCCTAGCAACGAGGGAGCCAGGCTAGGACAGGAAACACGCAGCAACCTCCTCTCGCGCCCATTTTTTTGGGGGCAGGCGTGAGAGGACCTAGGCCTGCTGTGTATGCAGTAATGCCTGCACCTGATCTGCCAGTCGATGCTGGAGTGTCCAGTGCCATCCAGGGCACCATACTACTCTACGCTGTGCCCGTAGTTCCACACACAGCTCATGTTGCCTGAGAACAGGAGGCTGAAGAGAGGAAGGGGTGGGCCAGGGCCCCAGGCCACCCTGGGCTCCAGGAACCCAGGCTCACCTCCTAGGAGATGGCATGGGGAAGGGGGTGGCCTGCCCAATGGTCTGCAGCTCCTGCAGTGACAGCTGGTTGAGGGCAAACCCCTTGGTCTCAGCTATGAACATGCCTTTCCCTGGAGGCCTCATGGGCCCTGTGGAAAGGCATCTGAGTGCCGGACAAAGTGGCACTGAGGCAGCTTCGTCCATGCCCTGATCTTCCTCCAGGGCCTGCGCTCCTGGCTTTTTTTTGTTGTTTGATACAAAGTCTCGTTCTGTTGCCCAGGCTGGAGGGCAGTGGCATGAACTCACCTCACTGCAACCTCCACCTCCCTGAAGGAGAGGAGGAGCAGGGGCTCAGGTGGAGGCTCAGGCAAGGTCTACCTGTGACACTGGGACCCTGCAGGCCTGGGTCACCCCTGGAAAAAGTGTCGTCCTGCAGCAGTCCACCTGAATGAGGGATCCAGTGATCTCCCAGGAGAAATCGGTCTTAAGGGAAAAAGAGGCCGGATGTGGGGCCGTGTGAACCAAGGACTGGGTCTGAGCTGTGGGGCCTCGGGGGTGAGGCTTTGCCTGGAACACCCGAAGCCTGAGCCTCTGTCACTCAGCATCTCCGAGCGGGGCCGGGACAGGGGAGGAGGCCCGCGTTGGGTATGACTTGGCCATGGGAGGTTTCGTGTGAGGACCCCAGAAATAGCTGGGGCTCATTTAAGGGCTGCTCCTAGCAGCTGAGATGCCCTGCTCCTCATTCAAGTAGAGAGGGCAGAGGCAGAGGTGCTGTGAGTGATGGTCCTGTTCTCTTACTGTTTTCTGTTTTTAGAGACAAGGTCTCATTCTCGATCATAGCTCACTGCCACCTCAATCTCCTGGGCTCAAGAGATCCTCCTGCCTAAGCCTCCTGAGTAGCTGGGACCACAGGAACATGCCACCATGTCCAGCTAATTTTTAATTTTTTGTAAAAATAGGGTCTTGCTATATTGCCCAGGGTGGTCTGAAACTCCTGGGTTCAAGCAATCCTCCTGCCTTGGCCTTCCAAAGGGCTGGGATTCCAAATGTGAACCACCACACCTGGCCTGTTTTTTGTTGTTTTTGAGATGGCGTTTCACTCTTGTTGCCAAGGCTGAAGTGCAAGGGTGCGATCTTGACTCACTGCAACTTCCATCTTCCAGGTTCAAGATTCTCCTGCCTCAGCCTCCCAAGTAGCTGGGATTACAGGCATCCGCCACCACGCCCAACTAGTTTTTGTATAGTAGAGACAGGGTTTCACTATCTGTCGACTAGGCTGGTCTCGAACCCTGAGCTCACGTGATCCACCTACCTCGGCCTCCCAAAGTGCTGGGATTGCAGGCGTGAGCCACTGCGCTCGGCCTAGACTGTTGTTGAAGCCTGTTTTCCTCTTCTCGTTCCTCAGTTCATTTCTTTTCTTTTACAACCTCCCCCAATCACTGCTCTGCCCATCCGAAAGCTATGCTTGGCACTGGACTGAACAGAACCCCCTAGCCTCAAGTTCCAAACCCACGCCCTCCAACAGCCAGGCTTTCATATGGGAAGCTTCAAAGCCTTGTGACAGCCTGGCTGAACCTCTCCAGCCTGGGCGCCCCCTCCAATTCCTGCCCCTGAAAACAGACATCTCCTCAGGCCACCTGCCAAAGAAGCCTGTCCAGAAGCCTCAGGCACCCGCTCCTGGAAGGCTGTACTCTTCACCTTCACAACAAAGGGCATGTCCACCCAGTCCTGCTAAGCACACTCCTGTGCCCCTGGGCCCTGAACTGTCCGTTGCTCAGGCTGGGATGCCTTCTCAGTCTTCCGCCTGCTGCAGACTTGGCTCAGCTTAAAGCACTCCATGAAACTGGGGTGTGGCATCTGCCTCAAGGAGCATTTCTACAACCTCTGTTGCCTCTACCGCAAAAAACTCCACCTCTGAACGCTGAATGAGAACTGCATGATTGTAAGGAAGAAAAGGGGGTGGGCGTTGCGGCTCACACCTATAATCCCAGAACTTTGGGAGGCTGAGGCAGGTGGATCACTGAAGGCCAGGAGATCGAGGCCAGCTTAGCCAACATGGTGAAATTCCGTCTCTCTGAAAATAAAAATTAGCTGGGCACAGTTGGTTAGCCTATAATCCCAGCACTCTGGGAGGCCGAGGCAGGCACCTGAGGTCAGGACTCTAAGACCAGCCTGGCCAACATGGTGGAAACCCTATCTTTACTTAAAAAAAATACCAAGAGTTGGCGGCCACGGCAGCTCCACCTGTAATCCCAGCACTTTGGAAGATCGAGGTGGGCACATCACAAGGTCAAGAGATGGGGACCATCCTGGCCAACATGGTGAAACCCCACCTCTACTAGAAATTAGCCAGGCGTGGTGGCGTGCATCTGTAATCCCAGCTACTTGGGAGGCTGAGGCCGCAGGAAAAATCGCTCAACCAGAACCTGGGAGGTGAAGGTTGCAGTGAGCTGAGATCACGCCACTGCACTCCCAGCCTGGGGAACACAGCAGACTTCCTTTAAAAAAAAAAAAAAGCAAAGATTGGCTGAGTGTGGTGGTAGCACACATCTATAATCCCAGCTGCCGAGGCTGAGGTGAGAAAGATCACCTAGGCCTGGGAAGTCGAGGCTGCAGTGAACCAAGATCATGCCACTGTACTCAGCCTGGGCAGCAGAGGAAACCCCGTTCAAAACAAAACAGGCCAAGTGCATACACTCATGCATGCTGTAATCCCAGCTACTCAGGAGGCTGAGGCAGAAGAATCACTTGAGGCCCAGGAGCCGAGGTGTAATGCTGTTAAGATCTCACCACTGCACTCCAGCCTGGGCGACTTACAGCAAAACTCCGTCTAAAAAACAAAGAAAATAAAACCACAATTTGGGTAAGTAGATATCTGGTTCCTGAACTGTCCGGGTATAGACGGCCTTCCCACATTGGATTGGGATGGGGCGCTGATCTCGGACTGCACACGTCACCCATCCTGCCACCTGCCAGGAATCTCCTTCCTGATCAGCCCAGAGCATGCCCACAGGGGCACTCACTTCATGTAGTGGCTGGCAGTTCTAGGTAGGATGTAGGCTCCTGGCCAGACCACATCCACTGACAGGAGTGATTCTTGTCTCTGTGCACCAGTTCTTCCATCACCCACATGTAGTGATCATAGACACGTTGTTGGCTTTGCCGGGAGCCAGGAGAGAATGGAGGCAGGGGTGTAGCCCATGGGCTGGCCAGGCGAGCAGATGCACAGCAGGGACTCATGGCCTGGGCCCTGGCCCAGGATACTCATCCCAATAACCACAATTCCATATCAGTCACACATCTGCAGCATCTCTACGTAGGGATAGTGGCTGTGGTGCAAGAAAAGGTGTTGGTGCCAAAGCCAACGAAGCAGGTCGAAGTCTTCCTCGGATCTAGGACAGCTGGAGCCTAGATCCCTGTCCTGTCAAAACTGCTTCCTCAGCAGGACTCTGGAGGGCCACCTGGCCCCTCTCCAGCCAAGCATGGCTCACGGTGGTGGTATCTGACCATTGCCTCCCAGCCTTTGCCTGAGGCTGCCTCAGCTATCCAGGTTCAGAGGTAAAAAATGGAAGAGGTGACCACTTGCTTAGCCCCACGAGGACCAAGGAGCCCCAATACGCCTGCATCCTCATGCTTATTGGCCAGCTGTGGAAATAGAAAGAGTTTCCAGCATTGGTGAGGGCTGACAGGTGACTATCCAGTCAGGATAGCCACAGGGTGTGTGAAGTCATAAAAAAGCCCCAGTGAGTCTGTGCGATCAGCCCTCGACAATGGCGTAAGGTGTGACACCCACGACTCAGCCTGTTATCCACAGCCTGGCCTGCCTGTAAAGAAGACCCCAGTGCACCAGCATGCCTCGGGGCCTGGAAGGAAGCAGCAATCAGAGGCTCTACCCTTTCCTGGCTAGCCTTGCAGGACCCTACACTTAATTGGGCCTTCTATGACCAGTGAAGTGGCTCATGTGATCCCCACCTTTAGGAGGCTAAGGCAGGAGGATCACTTAAGTCAGGAGTTCAAGACCAGCCTGGGCAACCGTCAAGAGCCCAACTCTACAAAAAGATTTTTGTTCTGAGACAATCTCACTCTGTCGCAGGATGAAGTGCAGTGGCGTGATCTCTCGCTCCGCAGCCTCTGCCTCCAGTGCAACACTTCTCCTGCCTCAGCCTCCCAAGTAGCTACAGTTACAGATGCCAGCAAATTTACATATTTTAGGCCCAAGAGACCAGTGTTTGTGTTGTGGTGGTCTTGAACTCCTGGCCTCGATCTGCCGCTTCAGCCTCCCCAAAGGGCTGGATTGCAGATGTGACCTACATGCCGGTCTGAATCAGTGTTTAGTGCGCCAGGCATGGTAACATGTGCCTATTCCCAGCAACTCAGGAGGCCAAGTAGGAGGACTGCTGCTGCTGCCTGGGAGCTCAAGGCTGCAGTGAGTATGATCAGGCCAGCGCACTACAACCTGGGTGACAGAGACCATCTCAAAAACAAAAAAGCAAAATAAATAAAAAAAAAAAAAACATTTGGGCCCCACAGAGCAAATCAGAGAGCTCAGAGGACCGCGCCTGCCGTTCACCTGTCCCGGCTCCTGCAAGCCAGGAGAAGGCTGCCAGTGGGGAGCCAAAGACCTCCCTTAAACAAGTCGAACCACCATTACCTCCCAGTACAGGTAGGCGGGGTGTTAGGTGCCTCAGGTCGGCACCACAGAGGCTGGCACCCGGCACCTTCCACTCGCCTGGTCCCAGCCCATTGTACGACTTCTGCATCAAATGTTTTCTGCATCCAAAGACGCACTTCAACTCGAACTGGTTACTGCGCGGTGGAATCACAGTAATTCACTAGCCTGCTGGAGGCAGAAAGACCAGGACAGGAGGGGACACGATCTGGGTCACACAAATGGGAATGCCCCACAGCGGCCACTCCCCAGGCAGCCATTTGCTTCTGTTACTTTTTTTTTTTTTTTTGAGACAGTCCTGGCTCTGACACCAGGCTGGACTGTGGTGTGTCCGGCTGCAACCTCCTACCTCAGAGTTCAGTTGATTCTCCTGCCTCAGCCTCTAGTGCCTGGGATTATAGACATGCACAACCATGCCTGGTGAATTTTTGTATTTTTAATGAGAGACAGGTTTGCCTTTATGTTGGCCAGGCTGGTCGAACTCCTGACCCTGCGATCACCTGCCTCAGCCTCCCAGGCTGGGATTACAGGCATGAGCCACTGCGCCTGCGTGTTTTTATTTAAACTTTTTTTTGAGCCGGAGTGTGTGGCCTCCGCCTATAATCCCAATGCTGGGAGGCGGTGGATCACCTGAGTCAGGAGTTCCAGACCAGCCTGGTCATCCATGGTGAAACCCTATCTCTATTAAAAATACAAAGTCTTGGCGTGGTGGCACAGTGCCTGTAATCCCAGCTGTGGGCTGAGGCCAGGCACTGCACCTCAAAGGTGGAGGTTGCAGTGAGTAGATCGTGCCATTACCCTCCATCCTGGGTGACACAGAACACAGATTACACATCTCAAAAAAAAAAAAAAAAAAAACTTTCTTCAGCCGAGCACAGTGAGTCCTGTAATCCCCAGCACACCCTAGCACAGGGAGGCTGAGGTGGGAGGATCACTTGAGTCAGGAGTTCAAGACTGGCCACAGACCATATAAGGAAACCACATCTTCCCTAAATAACATTAGCTGGGCGTGGTGGTGCTTACCTGCAATCTCCCAACAACCCCAGGTATGAAGGCTGGAGGGTGCTGAAGACCAGCAAACCAGAGACTGCAGGTTCTGATGAAACTGATCTTAGGCAAGAGTGAGTGAGTCAAGGAAGCAACCGATCAAGGCGCAACCAGCATAATTTTAGATGGGCCGAAGGTGCTTAGAATAACACCTCTTTTACAGCTCCTTAGGGTCTGTCCTGGAAGACTCTAGAAAGGGAGTTTCCCCACCAATAACCAGCACTCTCTCATCCTTACCAGCAGCCTGCCCTGAATTCTCCTCTCCAGGTGATCATGTATTTTACCTTCACTATGTTTTGAGATAGGGTCTCGCTCTGTCACCCCAGGCTGTCTCAGCCTCCGGGCCTGGGGATTACTATAGTGATGTGCAATCTCAGCTCCTTTCACCAACCTCCCTCCGGGTTCAAGCAGTTCTCCCATCTCAGCCTCCTAGTAGCTGGGATTACAGGCTGCACACACCCAGCTAATGCCACCTAATCAAACTGGTTTGAACTACTGAGCGCAAGTGATCCACCCGCCTCGGCCTCTAAAATGTGGATTACAGGCATGAGCCACTGTGTACAGGCTATTCTTCAACCCTTACAAAATACTTTTCCCTTTACAATAAATTGCTGTATGCTGTATCATCACAACATTGTGATTCTCATTTAAAATTCTTCTTTATTTATTATTTATTCTTTTTTTAAGGCAGGTCTTACTATGTTGCCCAGGCTGGTCTGTGCCAGGCTCAGGTGATGCGCTCCATGGCTGCTTAAAGTGCACAGGATGACAGGCGTTTATGTACACACACCAGCTAGTTCTTCAAACTTACAACTAAAGCCCTAATGGCTATCAAATCATCTTTCCACTGCCATCCAGCCTGGCGTGAGACACAGCAGACCTCCTCTCACAAGGAAAGATATATTAAAAAAATTTTTAAATTTTCTATTGACAAAGGTATCCAATATGCACAGTGGGATAATCCCTTCCCCCACTTTGAGAAGCTGAGAAGGCGGGTGGATCATCTGAGGTCAGGAGTTCAAGACTGACTAGCAGGCCAGCATGGTAAACCCCATCTCTACTAAAAACATAAAATATTAGCTGGATGTGGTGAAAGTGCCTGTAACGTCAAGCTCACTTAAAGGAACAAGGCAGAGAGAATCACTTGAACTTGGGAGGCAGAGGTTGCAGGCAAGATTGCACTAGCGTTCTCAGTCTGGGCTCCTACAAGAGTCGAGACTCAGCTCAAAAACAAATGCAAATAAAAAGACAGGGTCTCCCTCTGTTGCCCAGACCGGCCATAATCAGCGCTTGTAGTCCAGCTAACTGCCACCACTTGACCTCCCAGGCTCTTCAGGATTCTCCTGCCTCAGTAGCTGGGAATACAAGTATACATCACGGTACCTGGCCAATTTCAAAATTTTGTGCTGATAGTGCGCTATATTGTTTGCTAGGCTGGTCTTGAACTCTTGGCCTGGTGATCCTCCCTACCAAATCCTCTTACAAGAAAACTGGGATGACAGTGACCACTGCACCCAGCTTCTCGAAGCTGCCTGTTCCTTGAGTACGATGTGTAGCAGGGGCTAGAGTGAGAAGTAGCACCGTGGGAAGGGACAGGACTGCCACCTGAGCTGTGATGTTGAACAAACCCTCTTCTCAGCGAGATCAGCCACATGGTGATCTCGAGCCGTCAACCCGCTCAGACAGCCTGGATTTTAGCTTCATAGGTGGTTTTGAAAATTTCTTGAGGTTTGAGATGCTGAACCTTTCCATAGGGGCAGCACCAATCTGAATTGACAAGGCCTCAGGGCCATGAAGGATCCTACCAGAAGCTCTCACCATATCTTCCTCCACACGGGTGGTGATGATGATGTCATCGATGTAGAGTGGCGTTGATATGCAAGCAACTGAAGCACAGACCGCTGCGATCCCGCATGATTGAAGTCAAATCTGTTCTGGACAAAGTAACCCTTGGGATACCTAGAAGCCGGGAGGATTCATAGTTGCTGGGCACATGCCATAGAGTCTTTGCCCTCAGGATTCTTACCTCCCAGTCGAAGGGCCTTCTCTCTGTGTGAAGCCACCTGTCCTGGCAGGAAGACCTGGGGTGGGGTGGAAGGTGGAGTGTCTGCAGTGGAGGCAGGATGGTATCACTCCAGTGTTGGTCATGTACGGATGGTCCCTGGTGGCAGGGTGGGGGGTGGCTGATGCTGTTGATGGCGACAGTGACGCAGGCGGGGCAGGGGCCCCACCGGGAGCAGGCTGCTGATGTTTGGTCTCTGAGGGAGGTAGCCCTTTCGTATCTGGCGTGTGTGGCCCATTCACCCTGCAGACCATGGGAGGAGAATCATGCATGGGGCGGGGGGCAGGTCGGGGCATGAGGAGGGGCTCTCTTCTCGGGCCGCGACCTCCCGCCGCTTCCTGGCATGAGGCTCAAGAGTGCCTGCCAGCCAGGCCGGGAAGAATGTATCCCAGTGGTAGATCGACGCCTATCCCTACACAGACACAGCCCCAGAGGCAGGAGTAAGGCCCCCACCGTCCCACCAGGAGACTGAACTGTAGGTGCGCATCTGAGAAAAGTCCCCATGCTGTTCTCAGCAGCGCCCACCACCGCCCTGCCTGCTCCTGTAGCCCACACGCAGCCGATGGCATAAGTAGGCACTGCCAATCCTCAGCACCACTCTTATTGCCACAGGTCCTGGGTCCATCGCTCCAGCAAGTCACCTCCCGTTCACCACACCCAGCTGACCAAAATGCCCTGGCAGCCAGTCCTGGCTGATGTGATCAAGGATGGAAGGCAGTGGTCAAAGGGTGGGCCGACTCTAGAAAGAAAAAGGGAAGGGGGCCTGGCTCAGCTCCTAGGCCCCAAGGATCTGAGGACCAGTGTGCTGCACAGCTGTGCCCCAGGCTAAAGCCCTGACACATAGTGGGGACTCCTGAGGCGGGAAAGAACAGATAACTTGCCTGTTAATATGGGTCCACTGCAGGACCAGGTCTGTGCATCTGGGCAGTGGGGCCGGAATCGTTGGAGCGGATGGGACCCAGCATCTCCACAGAGACGGGTGAACCCAGGGGCAGCTCAGCAGCCGAGAACAAGAAGGTTTAAGGCCCTGCAGCCAAGATGCAAATGACCACCTGCCTGTCACAGGAGGAAGGCTGGTTAGGAGGACGGGAGGGCTTTGCTTAGGACACTGTGAGTGGGAGCCCACCGTAGCATTCAGCCTCTCTCTTTCTCTGTGCTGAATACCACAAAGTCAGAAACACAGGATGTAGGCTGGGCACAGTGGTTCACACCTGCCATTAATCCCAGCACTTCGGAAGGCGGAGGCAGGCAGATCACGGGACAGGGGTTCAGTTAGCCTGGCCAGTGTGGTGAAACCCATCTCCACTAAAAATACAAAAATTAGTGGGTGTGGCAGCGGAGCATCTGTCAGCTACTAGGAGGCTGAGGCAGGAGAATCGCAGACCAGGAGATGGAGGCTGCACTGAGCCAAGATCGTGCCATTGCACTCCAGCCTGGGTGACAGAGCAAGACTCCGTCTCAAAAAAAAAAAAAAAAAAAAAAAAAAAAGAAAAGAAAAGGATGCAAACCAGATAGCACGGACCAGGCCCTGCTGGATCCCTTCTCTGCTGACCACTTCCAAGTCACGGAGAAAGACAGTAGTGAAACGATCCTCAGCCTGATGTCATTCTGTCTCTATCTGAACCTTGAAAACCAAGGCACCTTCCCTACCTGTGAGCTGACCTCAGAATGTCCAAACTATCCCTCCTCCCAATCCAGGGACAGCAGCTCTGGGCAGCGTAACCTGCGCTCAGGCCTGAGGTGTCTGGTGGCTCATGACTGTAATCAGGCGCTGTGGGAGTCAAGGGAGGATGGCTTCATTCGGGTTCCCAGACCAGGCTGGTTAAGCGTCAGACCCAGTATCTTAAAACAAACAAAATATAAAAAAATAACTGTGTTTTTGTTTTGAGACAGAATCTGACTCTGTCGCCCAGAGCTAGAGTGCAGTGGCCTAATCTCGGCCCTCCGCCTCTGGTTCAAGCAATTCTCCTGCCTCAGCCTCCCAGCTGGCTAGAAGGAGGTTACCTGTAGGCGTTCGCCACCACGCCCCAGCTAATTTTGTAATTTTTAGTGAGACCAGGTTTCACTCGTTAGCAGCCAGGCTGGTGTTGAACTCCTGGCCTTCAGCGGTCAGCCACCTCGGCCTCCCAAAGTGCTGAGATTACAGGCGTGAGCCACCGAGCCTGAGTAAAGTTTTGTTTTGTTTTTATTTTAATTAGCCAGGCACGGTGGCCCCAGCTAACTTGCAAGGCTGGGGCGGGAGTATCGCTTGAGCTCAGAAGTTAGGTTAGTCACTCTAAACTCCAACCTTGCAGGCGGCAGGACCAAACCCACTCTCAAAAACGTTTCAAAAGATCTAGTAAACATTCATTACAAAGGACACTGCCCAGGCTCAGCCTTCGCCTCGACGGGGCTCAAGCAGGAGCGCTTCCTCCTCCTCCCGGGCCCTCCCGGGCTCCCTTAGTTCCCCCGTCCTCCAACCCCTGCCCCCAACTGATTGACCTTTAACCTCCTCCCGGGGCGCTCCGGGTGAAGGAGACTGCAGGGCGCCGGGGCTCACCCATTCCCACCGCCGGGCTTCCGGGCGCCTCCCGGCCTGCCTGAGCCGCGCCTCCGCAACAGTCGCCGGTACCTCTGCTCACCGAAGCCCCTGCGTCGGTTGTCGGAGAAGTCGCCGGAGCTCAGGGGCCGTCCAGCTCCTGGCGCTCTTGCGACGGGCTCTCCCAGGGTACAGCATCCCGCCCGGCAGCGCCAGCGCGCAGCCGCACAACAGCGGCCCGAGAGCCTCGGGCCACAGCCGCCGCCAGTCCATGCTTCCTGCTCCCCCTCTCGGCCGCGTTATTGCGGGGATAAGCGCGGCGCTGGAAAGTCATGCGGGAGGTCGCGTGACGCGCATGAATCGTCCGCGCCATGCTTTGTTGAGGGCGGAAAGTACCCAAAGCTGGAGGCGGGGCGGCGCCGAAACGCTGCCGAGTGGGGCCTGTGACTGGTTTTCCACTTCAGGCCTTTGAGAGCGCTGACTCCCCACCCTCAGCGCCAGCCAAGAGGCGTCATCTGCTCCCATCCCAGCAGAGGGTGGATGATCCAGGGCGGCAGACCAGGACAGAACCCCTGGTCGATGCAGGATCCCCATTTCTTCAAGGAGCACCTCCACTTGCTTTCCCCAGCGGGCCCCATGAGCCTCTTCGCCGACTATTGGATGCAGCCTCTTGCAGGGATGCACCTCCTTGGGAGGCGGCCATAGCCTTGACCATGGGCCTCTGGGACCCCACGACCTAGGGGCCAGAGGCTCCCTCTTGGCGTTGAAGACACACATGAAGGCACAGAGAGAGGCCAAGTTCAGTGGCTCAAGCCTGTAATCCCAGCACTTTGGGGTGGCCAGGTGGGTGGATCACTTGAGGCCAGAGGAGTTCGAGACAGCCTGGCCAACATGGCCGAAACCCCGTCTCTGCCTAAAAATACAAAAAAAAAAAAAAAAAGGACCCGGACATGGTATCAGATAACTAATCCCAGCTACTCGGGAGACTGAGGCTGGAGAATCGCTTGAATCTGGGAGGCAAGGTTGCAATGAGCCAAGAGTCACACAATGCCCTCCTAGCCTGGGCAACACAGAGGCAAGACTATCTCAAAAAAAATTTTTTTCAGGAAAGGGTGCCCTCTGGGTGTCCCACTTTACTGCAGTAAGGGAAGGCACACCGTGGAAAGGTAGAGAAGAGATCTGGAGACAGTAAAAAGACAGGTTTATCAAAGGGCGTTCACACAGGTGCAATGGCTGTGGCTGGACATGAGAACCATTTGTAAAAGCATCGGCTTCCATAGATTTTCACCTAGCATCCTCGACCTGTTACCAGTGGAAGGCCAAGTTCCCGGTGGTGAATCCGCACACATCTGTAACAATCTCAATTCTTGCCTCCTCAGAAGAAATTTCACTGCACTCCAGCCTGGGTGACAGAAGCGAGACCCTATCTGCAAATAAATAAATAAATGCCATGTGTGTATGTATGTAAAAGTAGAGAGTAAACCAGGCTGGGCATGGCAGCTCAGGTCTGTAATCCAGCACTTTGGGAGGTGAAGCAGGAGGATGAGCCAGGAGTTTAAGGTCTAGCCTAGACAACACAGTGAGACCCAGTCTCTACAAAAAGTCTAAATATTAGCCAGGTGTGGTGGCGCATGCCTGTGGTTCCAGCTACTTGGGGGCTGAGGAGGAGGATCATTGAGCCCAGGAGGTTGGAGGCAGTGGGAGCTGCCCAATTCGCCACTGCACCTCCCAGCCTGGGCAACAGGTGAGGCTGTCTCAAAAAATTTTTAATTAACAAAATGATTTATTTAGTTATTTTAGCAATTAAACTAAATACATTTATTAAGTTATCCTAGTCATATATCAAGACCTCAATAGCCACATAGCTGAAACAAGCTACCCATTACTGAACAACAGTGCGGAATGTAAAGACATTTCCATCACTGCAAAGGTTCTTTTTGAAACAAAGGTCTCTCTGTCCCCCAAGGTACTGGGTACCCAGTGGTACAATCAAGGAGGACTGCAGCTTTGACCTACTGGACTCAAGCAATCCTCCCACCTCAGCCTCCCAAGTAGCTGGGACTACAGGCAAAACTACAACCACCAGCAACTAATTTCCTTTTTATTTTCTTATTTTTTTTGAGATGGAGTCTCGCCCTGTCACCCAGGTTCGAGTGCAATGGCATGATCTTGGCTCACTGCAAGCTCCGCCTCCCCACTTCAAACAATTCTCCTGCTTCAGCTTCCTAGAAGCGCAGGATTACAGGCACATGCCACCACATCCAGCTAATTTTTGTATTTTCTTAGTAGAGATGAGGTTTCACCATGTTCCACCTAATTTTTTTTTTTTTTTTTTTTTTTTTAGTAGAGATGAAGTTTCACCATGGTGGTCAGGCTGGACTTGGACTCTTGACTTGTGACCCCCACCTCAGCCTCCCAAAGTGGGATTACAGGCGTCCAGCCACCATGCCCCAGCCGTCACAGAGAATCTTGAGAGCCAGCTTTCACGAGGCAGCACTGTGGGCTGAAGAGGTCCTGAAGGAGATCCTTCCTAGGAGGAGGCAGAGATGACTGCATAGAGACCACCCCAAGCTTCAGCAAAGCGATTGCTGAGACCTGAGCAGCAAAGGCTTCTGTGTCCAACTGGCTAGTTTCTAATGCCTCTGAGACACACTTCTTTCTAGTAAGAATGCTGGCCGGACATAGTGGCTCATGCTTCCTAATCCCAGCACTTTGGGAGGCTGGTGTGGGCAAAATCACCTGAAGTCTGAATGTTGCGACCAGCCTGGCCAACATGGCAAAACCCTGTCTCTACTAAAAATGACAAAAATTATTGGAGTGTAGTGGTGGCGCCTGTAATCCCAGCTAATTGGAGGCTGAGGCAGGAGAATTGCTTGAACCCCTGTGAGGTGGAGGTTGAAGTGAGCCGAGATTGGGCCATTGCACTCCAGCCTGGGCAACAGAGCAAGACTCTATCTCAAAAAAAAGCTAGTGTCATGGGCACAGTGGCTCATGCCTGTAATCCCAGCACTTTGGGAGGCCAATGGGGCATGGAGATCAAGCTGAGCTCAAGAGTTTGAGATCGGCCTGAGCAACATAGCGAGAGAGAGAGAGGGGGATCCATCTCT